AAGAATGATGAAGACATATATGAACAAATATAATCAAAGCAACCTCTTTCATCTTCTTTATCCAAGCTAGCCAAAGCTTGGTGAGGGAGTTCTGGAAGGTTCTGTGCAATTTCAAAGATCTGGTCTGCCGTCAGGTGCAGAAAACTCTTCTTCACTAACCAGACCAGTTCTCTTCTTGTGTGGGTTGCCATGGTCCACACCTATCAGGAGCACTGGAAACACCGAATCCCTCACTCTGATAGCAGACGTCTTGGGCCTGTGATTTCCCCCTCCAGCTCCAACAGCGTGGTCCTGGCAGTCCACGGGTTCAGTGATCACTGGACTGACGACCTCTCTCAGCTTCCTGGTGCCGCCAATCCCGGATGAGCCCCCATAAATCTGTTACAGGTCCCAGGGATGTGACCATGCAACAGGTGATTTTGTTAAAACAGTCAAATGAGCAGACAGGACATCAGTATGGTGTTGCTGCATCAGCTCCTCGTTGCAGAAGGAGGAAAAGCTAACGTCCGCGCCAACGTCCGCACCAAACTCTGTCCCGGTCAGCTGCCAAGCATCATACTTGTACCTTTACAGAACAGTTTACAAAGACTAATAATAACAATGAATCAAATCAAATCAAAGCTTTATTTATAAAGCGCCTTCCGCAACCCTGTCAGGAAGCCCAAGGCGCTGAGCATGGTACAGTACAAGTTAAAGAAAGTGAATAAATCAGAAAATAAAAGCAAGTCAAATTACAGATTACAAAAAAGGTGAAACATTCTAGTAGAAGACAAATGTGTAAAACAAGGGAAAAAGTGAACCAATGAAAACTGAGATAAAATCAACATAAAAGAGGGACAAATTCAAACATGTTCAGGAAACGCCAAGCGGAGGAGATGGGTTTTTAGGCAACTCTTGAAGACTGGCAGAGATGGGGACAGCCTAACTGAGGGTGGCAACTGGTTCCATAGTGACGGTGCTAGGACTGAGAAAGCCCGGTCCCCGCGAGTACGACACCTAGAACGAGGGACAACGAGCAGGCCTTGGTCAGAGGAGCGCAGGGCGCGTGATGGGGAATGTCTGTTCAGGAGCGTGGCCAGATAGGGGGGAGCACCACCCTGGAAGAAATTAAAAACAAAGATGAGGAGTCTGAAGTGTGAACGATAACAGACCGGAAGCCAGTGCAGCGAGGCCAGAACCGGACTGATGTGGTCCCGTTTCCTGGTCCCAGTCAGGAACCTGGCTGCGCTGTTCTGCACAACCTGTAGGCGACGCAGTGTTGACTGACACAACCCTGCATATAGAGAGCTGCAGTAATCAAGCCGAGAAATAACAAAAGCATGTAGTGCCCGCTCCAGGTGGGCTCTCGACAGCATGGGCTTGATTTTTGCAAGGCGTTTCAGGTGAAAGAAACTGGACCGGATCACAGAGTTGATGTGAGCATCAAATTTAAGTCCTACATCAAGTTTCACCCCCAAACTGGTCACAACTGGTTTTGAGTATGGAGAAAGAGGCCCAAGATCAACATAACGACCCACATTCCTGCTGTTGGGGTGAAAAACAATTAGCTCTGTCTTTCCCTCATTCAGATGCAGAACGTTGGCCATTAGCCAAGACTTCACCTCATTAACACAGGACACAAAGGACTGGATAGAGTGACCTTTCTCCTGACACAATGGAGAGTAAATCTGGCAATCGTCAGCATAGAGATGGAATGATAGGCCATGTTTACGAAAGATTGACCCCAGAGGTAGCAGATAAATGGCAAACAAAAGAGGACCAAGGATCGATCCCTGCGGGACCCCCAGCGGAGCCCCTCCCAAGAAGAAAAAACATCACCCAGTTTAACACAGAATGTCCTGTTGTGGAGATACGATCTAAACCAATCCAGAGCTGACCCTTTGATCCCAACCCATTGTTCCAAGCGATCGAGTAGAATCGTGTGGTCAACTGTGTCGAATCGAAGGCTGCCGTCAGATCTAACAACAGAAGCACCACAGATGTACCCTGATCTAGTGATAGATAGATGTCATTTAGGACCCTCAGTAGAGCAGACTCTGTGCTATGGCCAGACCTGAACCCTGATTGAAAAACCTTGAACAGATCAGAGTCAGCTAAATGTTAGACCAGTTGCTGATAAACGACTTTCTCAAGCAGTTTAGATGTGAAAGGCAGGGTCCTTAGAGACTCTAAAGTTTTTTTTCTTTTCCTTTTAGCCTGGAATCCATTAAATATTTTTTTAACACAGGAATACATTACATTAGATGGTTAAAGCATCAATGCGAAAAATGTGACTACATCTTTCTGTGTGCGTCACAATAGCACAACTTTTAAAAACATCAGGTTGCTGTTTCTTACGTACTTCATCTTTAAAAAATCCAAAGCTAAACATTAAAAGAAATTAAGTCTTTCTGTTGAAGTATTTACATGCAAGTATAAATGGGACATAATAAATGTGCACTTGCAGAATAATATTCCAATGGAGCAGATCAATATATAACATTAAGAACACAAACAGTTAAATCCAGTTATAAAACATGCATATACAAGAAGAATACAGAAAATAGAAAAGTTAATAACTGCCAACTGAGGTTATGGTGAAAGATTAGTTTATCATACATGTGGCAAGGTGGATAAACGAGGGCCCGGGCGGGAATCGATCCCCAGGCTCCCGGGTGAGAGTCATACGCTCTAACCATTCAGCCAAAGGGACATCCCATTGGCCAAGTAGCCAGGGCGCATGATCAATCGGGACATTGTGACAGGACACTCACACTGTCACATATATATCACAGCTCAGAGGATATTTCACAGTTGAAACAAAATCCAGCTTTGGATGCTCAGAATCTGTAATTCTCAAAACTGGAACAACCCAGTCATTTGATTGTTCAAAAGTCCCCTTCGCTGCCTTGAACTGCTCCTTTGGTTGCCTCTCCCGGTATCTGCTAGGGTAGATTATTCGTTGTTTGACACGCTCTGGCAGGCGTTGCCAAAGCGCGATGAGTCTGTCTACCCTGCTGTCAGACAGTCCCTGGAGACTCCTGAGCTCCACCAGGGCCTGAGCCAGCTTCAGGACATGCTGGTATCCTGGCTGGCCGTCAGGACCCTGGATCTCCTCCTGAGAAACAAAGAAAATGGGGAAAAGAAGTTAAATTTCTGAAATATCTCTGAATACGTGAAAAAAAAATAGGTGGGTCAGCTGTGAAATGATTAGCAGATGGGGGATCAAAGACCTCTGAATCAGAGGAGTGTTTTTCTACAGGAGTCTGGTTTCCAGGGACCTCGGGAGGGGCGTGATGCGCAGGGGCGGGAGGATGTGCTGGCTCAGACCCGGGTGCGACAGCTGGATCCCCTGACCGGGCTGCTCCTGAAGTGCTGGTGGACGGGACCTCAAGGTCGAAGGCGGCAACATGGTCGCCCACGTCCTCCTGGATACCCTCGTCCACCTTGTCCAGGTCGGTGATGGCAGCAGCCTCGTCCGGAGCGTCAGGGTCAACGCTGACGTCCTCAAGCACGCGGCCTGTCTGCTGGAACAGGTACTCCACTCCGATAAGCTCACCTGAGATTTTGTGGAAATGTAAACGGTTCAAAGCCCCTTCTTAGCAAAGTATTGGTGCACAGTGTCATTAAAAATCAAGAGTAAATAAAACGTGTTTCTCTGTTCCTCTACCTGTGTAAGCAGCAGGCTTGGTGAAGTCCTTAACCATCTGATGACCAAGCACCCTTTGGCTCTTCTGGTTAAGGGCGTGCCTGAGGTGGCCACTGTAGGACAGCAGAGGCGCCTTGTGTCCCTCAGCTGCCGCTGCGCGGTCCTCGTTCCACCTGACCAGTCCATCAATCAGGAACGCCTGGAAGTACTTGGCACTGGCCGACGTTCCTGAGTGATTAGATGAGAAAATCAGCTCAAGCTTTTACTGACACCTGAAAATGAACAGTTTACAGAAATTTATTTGGGTGTCTGATTGTTTTAAAATTTTCAGAAAGACATTGGGTAGAAATTCAGGTGACCTGGTGATCCAAACATTTTGCACTTTTTATTACAATTTTACAGCCATAAAACTAACCTGGTCTTTAGAGGGTTAAACATGTGATAAGTGTTCTGCCTCGCACAAAGAGGTGGTCAAAGCGAATGTGAGCATAAATACATATGGTTTATTACTTAATTACGTATTTTTTAATTATTAACTATTACAGTATTATTATTATAATACTAGAAATAAATAATGAGGGAAATATTCTGGATCAGCACCATGAAGCAAACTTATGGCCGTAGTATGTGCAGTATTCTGGACATGGTAGGAAATGTCAATGTGTGTGTGTGTGTGTGTGTTTCCATATCAGATTGGCGTATCTAGATCAGATTCTAGATGAATGTGGGTTGTTGTTTTTCAGACTAATATAAACGATGTTGCAGTTAGGTTGGTAGCAGAGCTCTCAGGTTTAGTGTTAAGTTCAGAGTGACATCATAGATCATGGATCAGGAATTTCCTACAAATGGGAAAAAGATCGCAGATCACACTGGATACCTTTCTTTGGTTGCTGTTCAGTGTACTTACTGGATGAATGACTTTTTAAGAATGAATTAACAAAATGACAGAGAAAGATGGACAACTTGGATGTGTTATTCCCTTTTTCTTATTTTTTAATGCATTGCATTTCCACCTTGGATCAGGGGCAAAAAAAGTGGTTGTGGCATCAATAAGTCTGTTTTAACTAAACTATGTTAATGAACTAACATTGCCTTCAATGAATAACGCTAAATGAAATATGTTTCCTAGTTTTTATTATGTTGTTTGAACCAAAGGGTCTCACATTATCTGAAATTTAAAACTTGTTGGATCGTGAATCTGTTTTTAAAATTGGCTCTATATTGGGCACCCGCCCCTTCAAAGGTCTCTACACGCACTGGTTGGCATGGTGTGAGACGTGTTCAACAGGAACAGCTCCGGGGTCCTACAGCGGCAATAACGTGACGTAACCATCGACATGGACGTAACTCACCTCGAGCCTTATTTTGAAAATAAAAAAGTCTTTTGAAAAGCGGAAGCGGAAGTGTTTCTTGTTCCCGCCGATGGCAGAGCTCAGCGTTGTGAAAGCTACGAATCGAAAAGCTGTCTGGGACCACATAATTTTCAGAGACTCACTTCAGCTCAGTGTTAAAGGTATTTATTAAATGTGTAAATCACTTTGGGCTGTTACTCACGTGTATTGTAGCTAAAGAAAAGCGGTTGTAGCGCTGGTTAACATTAGCCACTTAGCTAGAAAACCATTCAAAATGGCTGGCATATCGGAGGGGGCCTACTAATGCAGGTCTCGTGTTTTCCTCTTACTGCCTCTATTTTCACATTCGACTGAGTTTAAAGTCCATCTAGCATTTTGGGTGTAAATACGATTGACTTACGTCGGTTACAAACACGGCAGCATGTGTTTTATGCAGTGGAGGCTGGTGAATTTTGGTGGTGCGCAATTTTCAAGTTGCTGTGCCGAAAAAGATTTGCATGACCTGTTGTAGGAAGGTGTATACGAGTAACGAGGTTTTTAATGTTTGTACTATTAACATGTTTCTTATTTGCTTCCTTAGAAAATAATTGGTTTATGGGCAGATAAATAAAAATGACGTTTTATTGTTCTACTGACCAAGTAGTCCTGTGCTGTATTTCAGATCTTCATTTACTTAGAGAAACCCCAGTGACCGACGCAACACGAGCCGTTTTCAGCTCTGTCTTGTCAAATGCACCGCGTACGTTATGAAACAAGTACAGAACATTATACAAACTGAGAAGGAGGCGAGCTGAAGAAAACCTAGGCACTGCTAAAGCAACGTGACCTAAAGAGTGAGCAAGCAAGCAGAGTGAAAAGTCACTTTGTGTGGGTGAGTCGAGAGTGGGGCACAGCAGCTCCTCTGGCTGCAGGCTCAGATGGTTTTGCGTGTAGGGAGGGGCGGGCACTTCGTGTGACTGACCAATCACAGAGCGTGAAGACAGTCAGTCACCCAATCGGGATTTTCCTTCAGTACGGACACGGATATTGCAGAATTTTACTCGTTTTATGCTCGTACTCATCAAAAATGAGATGTATTAATAATAACCTCATCGCTCATGATGCTAAGTATTAAGTCTAATATTTGCAGTTGTGACGACTGAGATTTCAGATGCACTATCTACATATCACTACCAGGGAACGCCAAATCACACCAACAAATTGGTTAAAGCAAAATGTTCCAAAAAAACCACCTGCTTAATATTCACTGATATATGCAAATTCAGCATAATGAACAAAGCTACTTTCATGAAGTTAAAAGCATTGACTCAGTTTTACCTTTTGTCGGTTTAAGGTTGTAATGTTAAGTGTTATAGTAAAAAAAATCAAATTAAAATTTTTTTTTCAAACTACACTTGAATGCAGTTTTTACACAACAATGCCATCAATTTGCCGCAACGCCATGGCAGCATCAGGTAGCCTTAGGTAGTTTTAGGGCTGCAACTAACGATTATTTTCATAATCGATTAATCTGTCGATTATTTTTTCGATTAATCGGTTTGTTATTGTTTAGCTATTTAACCTATACAAGTGATGAATACATTTCAGTTAAGAAAAAGAAAAACATAAGAGAATTGTGCAGTTGACTGCAATCTATTTTATTGCACATGAACACAGTCAGCGGCGTAAAATGAGCTAAACAGTGCAAAATATCAGTCCAGAATAATTTTTTGGCATCAAAATATAAGAGGTAAATTCCATAAAAAATAATGTAGAATCTAGAATAGAGTTTGTAAGTGGTATGCATTGCTGGTGGGTGAGTGTCTTGTTCCCCATGTAGTTGTCCATCGTTGCTTGTTTTTTTTCTGCATAAGAAACACAAATAGACTGAAATAAGTACACATATAAAATAAAGCAGCACACACTACAACACTAAATCAATGTTACATTATTTGAATTAATTAACAATATACAGTGATCATTTATTTTGACAAAAATGTGTTGTGAGGCGTTTTACAGCGTTAGACAGTAAAACAGCATTTTAATAGTTTAAAAAAAAGACTTTTTCTGAATTTCTCCTGTATTTAAAAATTGAAAGCGTACAACTTTGCCGCGTTATATTCACCTGGACACAGCTTGTCTGTATATTTTTCTCCGCGGAGTTGTCCTTTTTTGAATGAGGAACATCGTTATGGGTTTGTGCCGTTTTTCTCTTAACGAGAACATTCTTATAAACAGACGTGCTAAATTTGGCAAGTGCATGATTCACAACACGGAGGAGATTCACGATTGCATCTAGTCAATCAGAAGTAGAACACCGTAGACTGACGCGGCAAAAAAACATGTTTAACATCCACTATAACGAACTCAGCTCCCAAATTTGATCTGTGTTAGCTTGTTTATTTTCTGTTACTTACCGGGCTGGCTCTTCCTCTGCTGCATCAGCCCCCACATGTTTTCATCTCAAATGTTCACTTAGGGACGTCGTGCTTCCTTGCCATGCTAGATGGTTTTTGCATATTTTGCAGGTCACCCGTCTTTTCATGGCATCTAGAGTGAAGTGCTCCCATACTCGTGAGGTTTTTGTCCGGGGTTTCTCTTGTTTTGTCGCTTCTATTTTTCTTCCGTATTTCTTCTTGTTCCGCCATCTCTCACAGCAAGATGCGCGTCAGTAACGTGTTACGTCATGAAAACCTAGGGCAGTTATTGGCTCGTTTCTTTTTCTACGGCTCCACTGGTAGATCAGTGGCTCATTACTGCCACACACTGGCGGCAAATTTAACAGATTGTAACCGATGTCAGATTGTGGTAAAAATAGACTTTATACGGTAAAATATGATTATTAAACAACTAATCGATGACTAAAAAAGTTAACTATTTTAATAATAGATTATAATCGATTAAATCGATTAGTTGTTTCAGCTCTAGGTAGTTTATAAGTGGTCAGACTGGTGGTAATGTGGCGCAATCGTGTCCTTTTTGTAAACAATTAGGTGATGGCGTCATAAAGGGGAATGGGGCAGTCTGAGATGCCTCTGACTTCCATTTATCTTGAACATAACTTGCTTTTTATTGGGATTGAAGCTGCGATCGTTAGTTTTTTTTCTTTTTTTTAATTTTTTTACAAGCCCCTTCTAAAGGTGTCTGACCCCATCAGTCCCTGTGCAGTCTCTGATGATCTGAGCTCCAGCTCTAACAGAGACGCTTATGGTGCGCTGCGGCGCTCCAGTTTGCCATCTCGGCTGATTTTGTTCAAAAAGCAAACCTTACTGCCCGTGTTTACTTTCATTTTCAATATATTTGTTGGCCGGAGCTCGGCATTAACCCCCCACGTCATCGTGACGCCTCCCTCTGTTGTGTGTTGAATTTTATGAGCAAAATGAATTTAATCCATTTTGGAATTAATTAAGGACATTTAAGACATGTCTAGCTCTCAGCTGAGATGGATGGATAGTTACTTTATTACAGACTCAAAGACCAGTTTACATACAGTTACAAATATAGTATAAAAATGAACCAGGTAAAACACAGACATAAACCTTTGTGTGTGTTGACAGCTATACCAGTGTTTCTAAAGCTCAGACTGGTAGAGAATGCCACTAAGATTAATGATTGATAAGAGTAAATACATGTTTATGTATTTCTACTGATGATTTTATGTATATAATTTCTCCAGATACCTTGAATGGAGTTAACTTGTAAATGTTTTACAGGAGGAAAAACATCCAGATATATATTGTATATCAGGAATTCAGCTAAAAGATGCTGAGAAATTTGAGACATAAGTTTTGGTCCATATCGTCCAGCCCTACAAAAATCATTTTAACAAATGCTCACATAAATGTGTTGAGTACTGTTGCTTGATGTCACAAAACAAGTTTGATGCAATGCGTACCTTGTTTGTAGAAGTTGACGTTTGAGTGTGTCTAGGGGGTGCTGCGTCAGATTAAATTAAAATCCCATTGAGATAGTCTTAAGTTGATGAAGATCATTTATTTGCAGTTTGATGTAAATCTGAAGTTGCATGTGTTGTTTATAGCCAAATAGCTCTTAGAGGGTGGAGCTAAAAGCATTTGAACAAAGAACCTCATACATCTGTTCAGTGCAGTTATGTGATGACTCCCAGCACCTTTGCTACATTTCTGAGTATTTAGTTTTTTTTGCAGAAGTTGTTAAAATTTTATTGTATACAGGGGGTGCTGTCCCAAATTCAATTAAAGTATATTGAGCATGTTTAAAGGTGAGAAAAATCATTTGTGTGCAGTTTGGTATGAATGGCATAATGCTTGGTCTATTCAGGGCCAAGTTTCTCCACAGGGGCACAGCTAAAGAGATTGCAACAAATGACCACATGAATGTGTCCAATGCAGTCTTGTGATGATTAGGGATGGGTACCTTTGACATTTTACTCAATATGGTACTAATTCCCAGTACCTATGAATCGATACCGGTACTTAACGGTACCAATGTTTGAGTGTTTAATAATTATTTTAATAGCTTTTAAAATTAAATATATATTATTTTCCTAATATATAACCATATTTGATAATATCATGATCAATTACATACAGCTGTTTGTATTTTATCATCGTAGTGTTGTACAAAAAGTAAAACCCTTTAACAACATTTTCTAAATGATGCAAAAACAAACCCAGCTCCATAGACTCCTAATCCTCTTCTATGCCCTCTGTCTGGAATAACTATCTTCATTCCATTTGCTGTTAATTTTCAAACAGTTGATTTTTCCTTCTCGGAATTCGGAATTTTCAAGTTCCGAGGAGGAAGAGAACGCACCATTAGCTGATAGCAAAGGAAGCTAAATTACTATTATTATTTACCAGAAGATCTAAAGAAATGTGTAGACTTTCTTGCCTGGGCCCCTAATGAAGAGTTGACTGATTTTGGTGGTGAACAGTCAAAATCAAGTTCACTACTTTTCTCCAAAATAAAACCTTAACTCATTCACTGCCAGCTGATCGGTAAAGCCCTTTGCTGTCAGCGTTTCTCACCGTTTTTACCGTTTTTTTTAAGAGTCACAGAACGTTGCGCACTAGGAGGATGTTGATGCCAAAACTACTAAAACAAAGTGGAGACTCACCTCTTACATCAGGAAGAATCCGCGCATTTTGAGCATTATCCGTTCTTTCACAGTCCGTTGTTGAATTGTGATCGGCAGAAACTTTTCCGGTTCGCGCTTCATTTTTTTTTACAGCAACGGCCCAAAACGATTTCCTAACACATGTATGTTCTGCTTCCTGGTCACGTGACTTATGCGGATGGAGATCAGCTTTAGAGCTGAGATGTTTGTTCTCGCGGTGCGGGGGCTCATTCCGATGCCCACACAGTAAAAAAAATGCAAATGATGACCTTAGTCGTCATTGGCAGTGAATGAGTTAATATCACAGAAAGCATGATTATTTGTTGCAGATGTTACAGGATCCATAACTGTGGTTTGAATGGAAGTCAATGGGACATTTTTGTCCACTAAGGTCAATCTGTTGTTACACAAAAACTATTGAGGCAAACATTTTTATTATTTATGGATATTTCATAACATAACCAAGACCGATTTGTAATAAACGCTCCAGGAAGAAATAGTTTTTCTTTTCTTTTATTTTTTTGGGGGGGACTCATTTTTTGTGCATTTTGTTTTTTCTTCATAAATTACAGCAACAACTGAGTAATCAAACTGGCATTTGATGGGTTAAAATCCTCAAAATTACGTTTTATATATTTGAGCAGTACTAAAGTTGAATAAATATGTGAAAAATAAAGCAAGAAAATAAATAAAAGTTAGTTTTTTTTTTTTTACCAGCGGACATTTTTGTCCTCTTAAGACTTGAGTGTATAGTAAACATAAATGAAAGTGAAGGCTGAGGGTTAAAGCTATTTGCAGAATAATTAAGTTAGGACATGTGCAACAGTATCAAACTGTTTACCTGCCATTTTTTGGCTGTGTTTCTAAGTAACCAGGGTCCGGAATTAACACTTGCCACTCGCCAAATGCGAGTAAATTGCTCCATTTGGTAGGGCTGGGGGTAAACGATTATTTTTAAAACGATTATTCTGACGATTATTTTATCGAATAGTCGACTATTCTAATGACTATTTAGACAATTAATCTAATGATTATTTTTCTATTGCACAGTTAATAAAAACCAAAAAATCTCTAATAAATTCCTCAAAAAATGTTGATAAATTCTTACTGTAAGAGAATAAACATACAGGCCTTCCATTTTGTATAACACTGCTTTTATTGTGTTGGTTATGTTCTGGTGACATGTAGAACTTGGGAGTGCAGGCTGCTGCCTGAGAGGTGGTTGGAGATGGAGTGTCTCCATGCTGCTTTGTTTTGGTCACTTATGAGCGTGAGGCGGGTGGTGTTACGACTCTTCCTGGGGAGTTTGGCTCGTGTGCAAAAAGGAAGGGACAATAACGGGATTTAAAAGTTAAAATGATGATCAGGTTTATTTACAACTACAAAAAGACATAAACCTTTCCATCCACAGATTGGGAATAATAAACTAATTCTGCTTGTGGGGAATTAAAACAAAAGTACAAATAAGTAGGGATGTCCCACTGAGCAAAAATTACAGGGTTCTGGACCAAATATAAGAATCTCCAAAGGTCCAACTCTAAACTGGGCGGTTAAACCAAACTCAAGGTGATATCTTAAACGAAACCAAAAACCCACAACACTCTAAATGTAATAAAAGGGAGATCTACACCACAAAAAAGATGAACTCTAAACCAAAACGTAACGCAAGAAGCTGTTAGCGAAAATGCTAACAGTAGCTTTACCAACGTTAAGTTCAAGTTACCAAGTTTAAATAAAAAAAACACCCAGCAGCAAACAGACCAGCATGGAGGAGAGACTGCTACCACCAAAACAGCTCTCCTAATGTCTGAAAGAAGCTCCTTTATGAAGGGAGAAACGCTCCCGGTGATTTTCTGCATCTGTGAGAGACGGAGCAGCGCATTTGACCCCGGAAGTTGTTGTCCGTTGCCGGGAGACGAAGGCGGGCAAAACAGGAAAGGGATCTAGTAGCGGACGGACATTGTTCCGGGTCTTCGGTATTTGGCGGAGATGTTAGTGAAGGTGGAGAAGAGAGCGAACTAGAGGAAAAACGGGCAGATTCCACCTCTATTTACAAACTCCTGGGGATACAACAAGTGGGCGCGGTGCGTCGACTACCGGATCTGACGTCGACAAATTTTTAGAATCGAGCCGTCGACGTAATCGAGGCTTCGCTACAGCCCTACCATTTGGCGAGTAAATATTTGAGCTCTACCTGCCACCTGGCGAGTAAATGTTTGCACCAAATTAGTTATGTTTATCAGTCATCTTCCATGGATGTCTGATACTCCTCCCGCCTGCATGCAGCGTACACAAACGTACGCGAAACGTGAACGCCGCATCCAACGTCATTTCCACCTATCCCATTCAATCAGTTTATCAAGTTAGCCGTTAGCTTCATGTTAAAACTAGCGGTGAAATGTGGCGGTGTTTAACTGGAGTCAGCCAGCCTTCCAAAAGAAAACTCGTCGAACTGGAAGAAAAACCACCAGGACCAGTGGCAACCAGAAGATTTTGTGAAAAGTGGCGAACCGGAGATGGCGGAGTCGTGAGACAGGCTACATTATGATGGCCACGTAGCGTTGCTGCCTTTCACAGACAACTGGCCCTCGGCATTCTTCAAATATCCAAAAAATGCACATACTTCCGACTTTGTCTTCTTTGAGGGATAATAAATGTCCCAAGTGCTGCCGTCTCCTCTGGCCATTATTTCAGCTTTAGCTTAAAGAAAGTTTTGGTCGTAAGCCACAAAGTGCGCATGTGCCGCCGGCAACTTCCAGCAGATGATACGGTGGCTGGTAAGGGTCACCGCGCCTACACCGCAGCCACGGTACTTTTTTACCGGGGTTTACTGCTACACCGGTTACCGTGACAACCCTAGCCCTGACACACTTTCAGATATTCTCATGGTGCAGCTGTGTTCTCCAGAGATCAAGGACTAGGACCCAAATGAGGCTGTAATGCTTTGGCACAAAGACGGTGTCAGAAGCAGGAGGCCAGACTTCATGGACAGAGAAAACAAGGAGTCTGACTAGATTTCAATGAAAGAGTTCATAAAAACATCTCTAAAAATAAATAAATAGTAAAAATGACAAAAGAGTTGTTTTTCTTATTAATTGATGTTTTTATTATTTTGTCACTCTGTTTGGAATCAACATAATATAGAATTACATGCTTTAGGTAGATCTAAATCATTTAGAATTTTGGCCGGTAAAAAATATGCTTGGCCGGTAGATTTTCATCATCTACCGCGGTGAGTAAAAAATTTAATTTCGGACCCTGTAAGTAACTGTTTAATAAAAACCACGAAACATTCAGTTAACCCTTACCTGTTAGAAAATGATTGCTGCAAACTTAAGCACGGTCTATTTCAGCATCTCCTGTTTTTAGCTGGAGTTAACTGATCCACTTCTGCCGTCTTCTTTTTGTAAGTATTTTAAAATAAGGACTTTGACACACTAGACTTGGGACAAGACTAAATGCAGCGTTTCCCCTAGAAAATGAGTTAAGCCTGGAGGATTCTGGGGGGGGGGGGGGGGGGGGGGTTGTTTGCGCGCTCCGTCCCGCAGCGCCCCTCCGTGAGAGAGCGGGGGTGGGGGTGTTGCACTTGTTCCTCCGCTGTTTCTTACCAGTATCAGCTGATGGAGGGCTCTAGATTCGTTGCGCCGTTCATGTCAGCGGACAGGGTAGGGTCGGTGAGGGGGTTGGGGCATGACGCTTAGCCTGGCGGGAGGCCAAGCAAAGCCTGGCGGGCCGCCAGGCTTATAAAGTGCTTGGGGAAACCCTGAAATGTGTTTCTTTGTCCCGATTAGAACGATTGCAACAACTGTAGACCGTACAGAACAGTGTAAATAGGGGTTTGTGCAGCGGCGGCTACCTCCTGTCCCCCAGCTGCATTTGGTGACGAGGACGCCAAGTCACGTGAAACCTAACAATTACAGGAAGAAATGACATCCAGTCAATGAAAAAGCAAGTTGATGAACTTTTGTAAATTTTTCCAGAGGGTTAGGTGTGTGTAGTTTTGGGGTTGTAAGCCATGTTTTGTCACATGTTTGGTCTGTTATTTCATAAATTGCTCTTACATGTTTCTTTTTCATCTCTAAACATTGGGCACATTTACAAAAAGGGTTACAATGGTTACAATACAGAGTTGCTTTTCTATGGAGACAGTATAGTCAGAATCGGGATAAACGTTTATGAAATGTGTGCTGGATTAAAGGAAAACGTCTTATAGCTGCTGTTGAAATGAATTTTGAGTCTTGTGTAATGTAATAGTATATTTCTGCTTTCCACCTCAGCCTCGCCGTGCACACAGACAGTTATTCACAACTTTATCCCACCCTTTGTTCGGAGCACAGTCCCGCACTCTTCATCGCCAGTCCTACGAGAGAGACCCGCCTCATTTTTGGACCTGTGGTTGTGAAGGCAGCTGTACAAATTGCTCAGATCAAGACTCAAACACAGATTGCTTTTAAAGCATTCAACATCATCTGCAATCAATTGCCAAAGTGCGATTTCAGCTGTGTGTCCTCACCTGACCCACCCGTCTTCTGACTAGACAGCAGGTGTCTGCTGTGAGCTCAGACAGCAACACAAAGTTTAACTGTTCTGCAATCTGCTGCAATGTATCACCAGCAACCACCACAACGGGGACCACAGCCTTTTTCAAACACACCTAGACCGTCTCATCACCAGCCACCTCCAAGGCAGCATCCAAATCGCAACACCGGGCAGGGGATAGGCTTCCAGTTTTCTCGTCCTAACCAGCTTCCTGATGAGCTAGAGTCAGCCCTGGCTATCAGAGGTGGCGGAGATATGGATCACCGCCAAATTGATCACATGAACCAACCAAACCCACACCAGAACCAAGGGCCAGGCTCTGGGATCAGTCAACATCGAGGCTATGGTTCCAACCCTTTATCAATTCCTGCTGATAATCCACCTGGACACCAGCAAGGAGTGGACTGGTCAGGCTACCAATCAGCCAACACACTCTTTTCTAGTAATCCATCAAGCGCTAACCTCCAGCAGGGACAACAGCAATCTCAGAGCAACCAATCAGGAGCCAGAACGCTAAACTGGAATCACCCTGACTTAACATCGACACAATCCCAGCAGTCACATGGCACTGGAGGTGGGGGGGAAGGTCAGGGGTTGTACACCCCAGAGAGTGCAGGAAGCATCTTGGCTAGCTTTGGACTGTCAAAAGACGACTTGGAGGTGTTGAGTCACTATCCTGATGATCAGCTGACTCCAGACACTTTACCGTTCATTCTTCGTGATATCCAAATCAACAAGTCGGACAAGGACAAAACTCTGGCTTCCACATCCTCATTTTCACGCAACATTCACGATATACCAACGGGTCCTTCCTGCTCTTCCCATTCTCCGGAGGTTCTCAGCCTTCTGACTGTCACACAGATGGCAGGTAAAGTCATTGACTATGGTCATGCCAGTCGGGTAAAGGACAAAACTGCTACCATAGAGACTTTCAAACGAGAGCAGTTGTCCAGTGAGAGGACAGTGAAAATGTATCCAACAGCTTCTTCACCATGTCCAAGCGCAGATAAAACTGAAAGACATCAAGTTCATTTAGAGCACAAGAACCCAAGCAAGCATGAAGATAAAGACTATCGCACAATGAGCAGAGAAAGAAACAAGAGTAGTCGGTCACCTGAGAGAGAATTTACACCCAAATCTCGTAATCTGGACAGAGACTATAGACATGAGAGCTCCAAGCCAAGGCCGCCATCTGAATCCAGAAGTGAGGATTCTTCTAGACGGAGTCTTTCCTCTTCATCTGCCTCAAGACCTCATGGCAGCAGCAAGAAGTTACCTACTCCCACCATGATAAGTGATTTTGAAGCTGCGTCTCCAAAGGTCTATCCTCATACCTGCTCCCTGTGCCACATACAGTGTGATCAGGAAACGGTGAGTACTACCACGTCCTCGTATGAATGTTCTAGTTTTATTTAGCGAATCATTCTTCAGGGAAACAGTCAAGACGAAATCTGTTAATCACTCATTTGTGTATAAACATATATTTCTCACACACACAAAATGTGTTTTAAAAACATTTTTTGGGGAAAAAAACACCTAATATTTCACAACATTCAGTGGGGTGATTTGAAAGCAATAATTATTTGGGTTCATATGAATATTTCTTAACCACAAATGGTGACGATTGCTTGACAAGAACCGCTGAAGATGCTGTGATAGACATCGTGAAAGTAGGAATACTACAGATTACAAGAGAACACCCCAAGTCCAGTAATTGTTATAGTCAGTTGAAGATGTAGGGGGAGGACCTACTCAAAACAATGCAGCAGAATAAAAATGGCTTCTTGTTTAAAAAAACAAAATATCGTGGACTTTTTAGCCATTTTGGAGTGTTTTTCTGTGTTAAAAGGTAAAAATGAGCATGCTGCATTGTCTGTCACTTCACTTTGTGATTGGCTACATGCAACAGGCAGCATGTTTGTTTTTCCTCAATAAATTGGACCAAGACAATCCAACACTTTGAATATCCCTAATGTATGATCAGTGCTGTACTGACATATTTCACAGAAGACCAGAGGGCTTAAAACTTACCAGACACATTTAGATTCCTTACTAAAAGGAAAGATGGGGTCAAAAATTGGCTTGATTATCTTGCAGAGTGTAGTGGGCCTAAAGCCTACTACACACTGGAAGCATCAGCAGCGTGGAACGGCAGTCGAATGTCACTGATTCAAATACGGAGGTGATTCAAACCAGCCCATAGAGGAACAACATCATTTATGACATCTAACAACGACATCAAATGTGATTTCCCTTTTTTGGGTGTAATGGCAAACGGCATAAACTTAAAGAATTCTGTGAGGATAGCGGAAATCTTGAGGGATTTGGTGATCTCGCGATTTGAGTGAGGAGCACAGAAAACGACTTGTGGTTGAGACCCTCCCGGTGTGCCCTGGAGTGCAGCGATTGTCACGAGTAAACCTTTCCGCTGCTGTTCTGCCCCGCTGATGCTTCCAGTGTGCAGTAGGGGTAAGTGTTTTGCTGTTTGTAAAAGGCTCCAATCTAAAGTCACAGCAGTATGTTTTTCAAAACGGTCAATTTTTCATCTCATGGATATTTATTGGGGGTGTAACACTACACTACAGCTAAAATCCCTATTCTATACATGCCTTAGGAGGTAGCCCTCATGGCACATCCTTTATTGCCACAAAGATTAGTTTTCATCTCTTTTTAGTTAGGCAACGGGACATATGCTGGTTGTAAGAGCCACAGACCTGCAAATCATGCTCATGGTCATCTTTTATCATCAAGACTCTGTTAATGACGTATTAATTGTTTACGATGGCCGAACAATGCATAATTTGATAAGAAACCCAGCAAACTGCAAGCAAAATACACTGTTGTGTCAGTGACTTTACAGCGATCCCTCATACTAAGCATGTATGTGGCTACTGTGGAGGGCAAACTCCCCTTTAACAGGAAGTTATATGTCCATGTGGGAAATCAATACATGTTTATGCCATACAAAACATTTCCAGTATGAATACATGTGCCCTTACACCCCAAATTTCATTACATTATTATTCTCATAATTACTGCACAACATTGTCAGAATAGTCATTTTCTTATGTCACCGGTACCTCTTGGGTGGATTCAACTTTAACACAGAAACACATTGTAAAATGGCCAAATCCTGCCCGATATACTGTACACTGTTTAGATATGGGATCACAACTTCGTCATATGTTTGTTCTAGACTACAGCTAATTTTCTGTTAGGAGAGTCATTTATTGGTCATGATAACAGATATTCAGACAGTGAAGCTGGTCTGAACTAAAAAAAAGCATTTTTGACTAAGCCATCATACATTGTATGCATGTCTCTGTTGTTGGAAACGAGGAAGCTATAGAATCACTTTATACTTCTGTTGCTGCTTTACATTTTGTGAACTGAAAGAGCTGTTGTATAAAGGACGAGTTCACACTGGGATCTATGGAACACATCTGTGTGGTCCTTTTGCCAAATTTAGAGGAATTACCCAGATTGTATCAGCAGTCAGAGAGACGTATAGTATAGTTGATCATAGTAAGGTTAGACTTAAATAAAGTGCTCAAATCACAAATGTTTCACAGTTTGGTTAGAAAACATTTTCTGCTGTTGATTTTATTAGTGTTGAATATGTTTGACTGGGTTTATACATTGTTATAGAATCTCAAACAGACTTTTCTTCCTGTGAGGATGGGTATCTGTGTGTTGGGGAAGTGTCCATTAACCTTGATGAAAAAAAATAATTTCTACTGTTTGAGTTTTTGGGGGTATTTCCTACTTTCATTAATTACGGTTGTGAGTCTTAGAACAAGTTTCTATTCTGAGTCGTGTTCATTACTAATAAAGTAGGATGGCTTCTCTCTATTTTTCAAACTGAAATCTAGATAAAGTATTTTTGAAAAACTGATATACACTAAAATCGCAAATAAAACAACCACACCCTATATAACTGTTATAAATGTATTTTTTCATGATAGAAATAAAATACAAGTTCCAGTGACTTTCCAGAATGCTGGTGTTTAGAAAAACGGATGATTTAAGATTTTGTTCCAGCCAGTTTTTAAGACTAAATTTCTCTGAAATATGCTGACGTATGCTTTGGGAGTTGCGATCATGATGCAGCGTGTCTTGTTGGGGAGAGATGTTGTGCAGGCTGACTCACAGAAATCAGTCCTGTGTGATCCGGGCTTAAGAGGACCACGAAATCTTATCTTCCAGTCAATTTCCACATCCCAGAATTTACCCTGAAGTTCCGACAGTGGAAACATGCCTATAGTTGGTTGTTGGTACCAGAACTTGCTAATCTACAGGGATTTGAACCCAAAAACTTCTCTAAGGTCTACAGAGACATAGTTAATAGAAAGAGAACAACAGTTCAGCACTGGTTATTTCCATGGTCTGCAGAAGCTCAACAGCAGCTCTACAGGTCCTTCTCAAATAATTAGCATATTGTGATAAAGTTAAATATTTTCTGTAATGTTCTGATAAACATCAGACTTTCATATATATTAGATTCATTACACACAACTGAAGTAGTTCAAGCCTTTTATTGTTTCTAATATTGATGATTTTGTAGGGCTGTAGCGAAGCCTCGACGAAGTCGACGGCTCGATTCTAAAAATTTGTCGACGTCAGATCCGGAAGTCGACGCACCGCGCCCACTTGTTGCATCCCCAGGAGTTTGTAAATAGAGGAAGAATCTGCCTGTTTTTCCTCTAGTTCGCCCTCTTCTCCGCCTTCACTATCATCTCCGCCAAATACCGAAGACCCGGAACAACGTCCGTCCACTACTAGATTATTTTCCTGTTTTGCCCGCCTTCGTCTCCCGGCAACGGACAACAACTTCCGGGGTCAGATGCGCTGCTCCGTCTCTACCGCAGATGTAGAAAATCACCGGGAGCGCTTCTCCCTTCATTAAGGAGCTTCTTTCAGACATTAGGAGAGCTGTTTTGGTGGTAGCAGTCTCCTCCGTGCTGGTCTGTTTGCTGCTGGGTGTTTTTGGTTTATTTAAACTTGGTAACTTGAACTTAACGTTGGTAAAGCTACTGTTAGCATCTTCGCTAACAGCTTCTTGCGTTGGGATAAGCCGTTACGTTTTGGTTTAGAGTTCATCTTTTTTGTGGTGTAGATCTCCCTTTTATTACATTTAGAGTGTTGTGGGTTTTCGGTTTAGTGTAAAATATCACCTGAGTTTGGTTTAACCCGTAAGACCACTCGCCTCACGCACATAAGTGACCAAAACAAAGCAGCATGGAGACACTCCATCTTCTACCACCTCTCAGGCAGCAGCCTGCACTCCCAAGTTCTACATGTCACCAGAACATAACCAACCGCAACACAATAAATGCAGTGTTATACAAAATGGAAGGCCTGTAGTGTTTATTCTCTTACAGTAAGAATTTATCAATTTTTTTGAGGAATTTATTTGAGATTTTCTGGTTTTTGTTAATTGTGCAATAGAAAAATAATCATTAGATTAATTTTCTAAATAGTCATTAGAATAGTCGACTATTCGATAAAATAATCGTCAGAATAATCGTTTTAAAAATAATCGTTTACCCCCAGCCCTATGATTTTGCCATACAGCTCATGAAACCCCAAAATTCCTATCAGATAATTAGCATATCATGAAAAGGTTCTCTAAACGAGCTATTAACCTAATCATCTGAATCAACTAATTAACTCTAAACACCTGGAAAAGATTCCTGAGGCTTTTAAAAACTCCCAGCCTGGTTCATTACTCAAAACCGCAATCATGGGTAAGACTGCCGTCCAGAAGGCCATCATTGACACTCTCAAGCAAGAGGGTAAAGGTTGGTTTATGCTTGACGCGTCTGCGAGGTCCGCACGGCTCCGCGCGGAAAAGTTGCGTCATTTTAACAACCACACCGCGCCTCCGCACGGCCCAAAATTTCCGCAACGCGTACCTAGGAAATTTTCTAACCACGCGGACGGTCGGACGTGGAAAAACATGGTGGTCCGGCAAGAACTAGTATGGCAGAGGTTCGTAAATACAGACATTTGTATGATTCAGCTCTCAGAGATCACCGTGATCAACATGTTGTTAATTCTTGGGGAGAAATAGCTCGCACTGTCGGAAAAGTCGAGGACGCTGTTAAAAATGCTGGAATGCCATGTTGTAAACAGTAATTTCTACTTCTACTATGGTGTAGTGTTGGATGCATGCCGTAGAGCTCCATGCTGCCCCCTACAGTTTGGGAGAATATTGGCTCAGCGCAGAGACAAGCCGCATGAACCATAAACGCTGCGAGTTGTGAAGCTCGTTCCAGCCGCGAGCCGCATAACTCACAAAGTGAATGCGTCAAGCATAAACCAAGCTTTAGACACAGAAAGAAATTTCTGAACGAATAGGCTGTTCCCAGAGTGCTGAATCAAGGCACCTCAGTGGAAAGTCTGTGGGAAGGAAAAAGTGTGGCAGAAAACGCTGCACAATGAGAAGAGGTGACCGGACCCTGAGGAAAATTGTGGAGAAGGACCGATTCCAGACCTCGGGGGACCTGCAGAAGCAGTGGACTGAGTCTGGAGTAGAAACATCCAGAGCCACCGTGTACAGGCGTGTGCAAGAAATGGGCTACAGGTGCCGCATTCCCCAGGTCAAGCCACTTTTGAACCAGAAACAGCGGCAGAAGCGCCTGACCTGGGCTACAGAGAAGCAGCACTGGACTGTTGCTCAGTGGTCCAAAGTAATTTTTTCAGAGGAAAGCAAATTTTGCACGTCATTCAGAAATCAAGATGCCAGACTCTGGAGGAAGACTGGGCAGAGGGGAATGCCAACATGCCTGAAGTCCAGTGTCAAGTACCCACAGTCAGTGATGGTCTGGGGTGCCATGTCAGCTGCTGGTGTTGGTCCACTGTGTTTTATCAAGGGCAGGGTCAATGCAGCTCGCTATCAGGAGATTTTGGAGTACTTCTTGCTTCCATCTGCTGAAAAGCTTTATGGAGATGAATATTTCATTTTTCAGCACGACCTGGCACCTGCTCACAGTGCCAACACCACTGGTAAATGGTTTACTGACCATGGTATTACTGTGCTCAATTGGCCTGCCAACTCTCCTGACCTGAACCCCGTAGAGAATCTGTGGGATATTGTGAAGCAAAAGTTGAGAGACGCAATACCCAACACTCTGGATGAGCTTAAGGCCGCTATCGAAGCATCCTGGGCCTCCAGAACACCTCAGCAGTGCCACAGGCTGATTGCCTGCATGCCACGTCGCATTGAAGCAGACATTTCTGCAAAAGGATTCCCGACCAAGTATTGAGTGCATAACTGAGCATAATTATTTGAAAGTTGACTTTTTTGTATTAAAACACTTTTCTTTTATTGGTCAGATTAAATATGCTAATTATTTGAGATAGGAATTTTGGGTTTTCATGAGCTGTACGCCAAAATCATCAATATTAGAAACAATAAAAGGCTTGAACTACTTCAGTTGTGTGTAATAAATCAAATATGTATGAAAGTCTAATGTTTTCAGTACATTACAGAAAATAATGAACTTTATCACAATATGCTAACTTTTTGAGAAGGACCTGTATTTGGACTCCCAACAGTAGAAGAGCACACCAGGTGTCTCTGCCGTCAGCCAAGAACTGGAAACAAAGGTCACAATTCCCTTAGGATCACCAGAACTGGACCAGAAGAGACTGGAAAAACCATTTCTGGTCTGAGTCCAGATTTCTGCTGTTGGGTAAGAATTTGGTTTCACCAAAATGAAAGCACGGATCCATCGATCTCTTAAGTGCCACCTGAGTGTGGTTGAAACACCACAGCCTTCCTGAGTATTGTTGCTGACCATGTCCATCCTTTTACAACCACGTGGACCCATTTTCTGATGGCTACTTCCAGCAGGATTATGCATCATGCCACAAAGCTCAGATAATCATGAACTGATTTCTGGAACATGACTATGAGTTCACTGGACTGTAACGGCCACCAGTCACCAGATCTCAGTCTAGTCCAGAACCTTCAGGATGTTGTGGAACGGGAGGTTCTCATGGATGGAACTGTGTGAAGCTCTCGTCAGTTTTGACCAGAACGTCTGAAGAGCATTTACAACTGCTTGTTTGAATTATGACATGAACAATTATGATCATTTTAAAGGTACAAGAGGATCCAGCTTGGTAAATAGTAAAAGTCTTGTATTTGATAAAGCATCTTCATGGGCTCTACATCCCCCAAAGGCAATTTACGACACACCCCTGCACATATACATGTTGGTGGACTACTTTGTTGCTACAGCCACACTTAAAATGAAGCAAGGCTGCCAAACACAGGCGCCACCACTTCATGCTCTAACCACTACAAGCAGGCATGGTGCTAGCATAGTGTACCTAATAAAGTGGTCAGTGTATGTACATGTTGATAATGAAGATCCATCATTGATCTGAAAATGGTGGCAAAAATACCTAAAGATATGTTCTGTGACTATTGCTAACATCATCTTCACACCAATAGTGACGAAATTTCTTTGTTTCCGTTTCCATTTATCAGCTCCGATTAATGTCTCCGACCTCTTTCTGTTTATTTCTATTCATTCACTCATTCATTTCACTCCAGGACTGGGTCAACCACGTCAACACTGTCGATCACACAGCTGCCCGCAGAGACCTGCGCAACAAGTGAGGATCTTTTCATGTGGTGCCAAAGCCTTTGTTCCTTTATGGTTCAGTATAGTTTAAGTAGAGATGAGTAAAGATTAACATGGAAATGTTTGGTGTCTCTGAGAGGGCTGTGTATGAAGAAGATAGCAGTTTAAATCTTAACTGAGAGATGATTGTATTTGTGTTTGAAGGTACCCTGACTGGAGGCCAAATCCACAAAGGTCAGTGTGATTACTTTAGCTGATGAAGCCAGTAGAAGTTGATTCCTTAACTTCAATTAATTTATTATCAGGTGGGTGGGTGGGGTATAGCTTTAGTGGCATTGGAAATTGTCTTAAAGTGTCTTTCCCAAGAACACAAAAACGGCAGATGACTGAGCTACCGCTGGCCTAGGAAGCATGGCTGCCATACACAGAAACTATGGGCATCACACTTTTCCTTCAGTTTTGATAACTTTACTATCAGCCCCCTCATTGAAACCATTGCGCTTTGGTGTTAAGCGAGTTTTTTTTTTCTTCTGCCCGTTCTTCTGCCCGTTCTGTCGATTATGCGTTTCCCCACTGTAAGATGCATGCATCTGACATAGGGCCTTGTAAAGCAGTGATTCCCAGCAAGGGGTACGCGTAGTGGTCTGTGAGCGCATTACAGGGGGTAAAACCCGGAAAAACCCGAAGTCTGGTGTTGAACAGAGAGACATCCTCAGTAAACAACAGTAAGTTGTGTCTGCGTTAAAAGCTCGTTAACACTGATTCCCTTAAATGCCGTTCATTTTTTTAACACACGATAAACACACAGACTCCCAACAGACTATGATTTCGTTTGAACAAATTTGTATAAACCTCCAACCTTATTTGATATTGTCAATAAAGCATGTTTTGCTTGTATTTTATTTAAATATCTTCACCTTAAGTCATTTTATGCAGATTTTTGTTTTGCGTTGTTTGGAGAATGAATCATAACACAACATAAAAACTACTTCAAACGTTTGGTATTTTATTTAAAGATAAGTTTTGAACGTTAAATGGTCTTTAAGTGGTATTCTATACCTTTTAGAAGTATTTTTTCTGTTGTTCTTATGTGAGATTATTCAAAACAGTCTTTTTGACATAAGCAGAAATAAATAATATATTGTGATATGTATTTTAGGCCACATGGCCCATTCCTACCCAAATGAAAACTAAACCAGCAACCCTCCAGTCATGAGGCGGGCACTCAACCCCTCTGCTACCGTCGCCCCTACACACAATCATTATTTAACACAGACACATGGTGCTGTATGAGACGTTTCTGAAGAAGCCTCACTGGTCCCTTTTGAAACAATACATGTTCTGTTTTCCATCATAGTGGACGTCATGGAGGTCATGCTCTGTGGGACCACAAGGATGGCTCTGCCTTTGACTCCGGGTCTCGATCCCGCTCTCGCTCTCCACACCTTCCAAAGGGCAGGTATCGGGGGAGATTCTATAGGCCACATGAAAGGCCTTACTCCCCCTATCGCCAGCCACGGCCCCACAACTACCCAGGTAGACACGTTTCAAGTGTATTTCTCGTTAGCATCAAAATATGTCCTGTAGCTGGGTGGTGGTGTAGATGTCCTGTAGCTGGGTGGTGGTGGTGTAGATGTCCTGCAGCTGGGTGGTGGTGTAGATGTCCTGTAGCTGGGTGGTGGTGGTGTAGATGTCCTGCAGCTGGGTGGTGGTGTAGATGTCCTGTAGCTGGGTGGTGGTGGTGTAGATGTCCTGCAGCTGGGTGGTGGTGTAGATGTCCTGTAGCTGGGTGGTGGTGGTGTAGATGTCCTGCAGCTGGGTGGTGGTGTAGATGTCCTGTAGCTGGGTGATGGGGGTGTAGATGTCCTGTAGCTGGGTGGTGGTGGTGTAGATGTCCTGTAGCTGGGTGATGGGGGTGTAGATGTCCTGTAGCTGGGTGGTGGTGTAGATGTCCTGCAGCTGGGTGGTGGTGTAGATGTCCTGCAGCTGGGTAATGGGGGTGTAGATGTCCTGTAGCTGGGTGGTGGTGGTGTAGATGTCCTGCAGCTGGGTGGTGGTGTAGATGTCCTGCAGCTGGGTGATGGGGGTGTAGATGTCCTGTAGCTGGGTGATGGGGGTGTAGATGTCCTGTAGCTGGGTGATGGGGGTGTAGATGTCCTGTAGCTGGGTGGTGGTGTAGATGTCCTGCAGCTGGGTGATGGGGGTGTAGCTGTCCTGTAGCTGGGTGGTGGTGGTGGTGGTGTAGATGTCATGCAGCTGGGAGATGGGGGTGTAGATGTCCTGTAGCTGGGTGGTGGTGTAGATGTCATGCAGCTGGGTGATGGGGGTGTAGATGTCCTCCAGCTGGGTGGTGGTGGTGTATATGTCCTGTAGCTGGGTGATGGGGGTGTAGATGTCCTGTAGCTGGGTGGTGGTGGTGTAGATGTCCTGCAGCTGGGTGGTGGTGTAGATGTCCTGTAGCTGGGTGGTGGTGGTGTAGATGTCCTGTAGCTGGGTGATGGGGGTGTAGATGTCCTGTAGCTGGGTGATGGGGGTGTAGATGTCCTGTTGTTGGGTGGTGATGGGGGTGTAGATGTCCTGTTGTTGGGTGGTGATGGGGGTGTAGATGTCCTGTTGTTGGGTGGTGATGGGGGTGTAGATGTCCTGTTGTTGGGTGGTGATGGGGGTGTAGATGTCCTGTTGTTGGGTGGTGATGGGGGTGTAGATGTCCTGTTGTTGGGTGGTGGTGGTGTAGATGTCCTGTTGTTGGGTGGTGGTGGTGGTGTAGATGTCCTGCAGCTGGGTGATGGGGGTGTAGATGTCCTGTAGCTGGGTGGTGGTGGTGTAGATGTCCTGTAGCTGGGTGATGGGGGTGTAGATGTCCTGTAGCTGGGTGGTGGTGGTGGTGGTGTAGATGTCATGCAGCTGGGTGATGGGGGTGTAGATGTCCTCCAGCTGGGTGGTGGTGGTGTAGATGTCCTGTAGCTGGGTGGTGGTGGTGGTGTAGATGTCCTGTAGCTGGGTGGTGGTGGTGTAGATGTCCTGCAGCTGGGTGATGGGGGTGTAGATGTCCTGTAGCTGGGTGGTGGTGGTGGTGTAGATGTCCTGCAGCTGGGTGGTGGTGTAGATGTCCTGCAGCTGGGTGATGGGGGTGTAGATGTCCTGTAGCTGGGTGGTGGTGGTGGTGTAGATGTCCTGTAGCTGGGTGATGGGGGTGTAGATGTCCTGTAGCTGGGTGGTGGTGGTGGTGGTGTAGATGTCCTGTAGCTGGGTGGTGGTGTAGATGTCCTGCAGCTGGGTGATGGGGGTGTAGATGTCCTGTAGCTGGGTGGTGGTGGTGTAGATGTCCTGTAGCTGGGTGGTGGTGGTGTAGATGTCCTGCAGCTGGGTGGTGGTGTAGATGTCCTGCAGCTGGGTGATGGGGGTGTAGATGTCCTGTAGCTGGGTGGTGGTGGTGTAGATGTCCTGTAGCTGGGTGATGGGGTTGTAGATGTCCTGTAGCTGGGTGGTGGTGGTGTAGATGTCCTGTAGCTGGGTGGTGGTGGTGTAGATGTCCTGCAGCTGGGTGGTGGTGTAGATGTCCTGCAGCTGGGTGATGGGGGTGTAGATGTCCTGTAGCTGGGTGGTGGTGGTGTAGATGTCCTGTAGCTGGGTGGTGGTGTAGATGTCCTGTAGCTGGGTGATGGGGGTGTAGATGTCCTGTAGCTGGGTGGTGGTGTAGATGTCCTGTAGCTGGGTGATGGGGGTGTAGATGTCCTGTAGCTGGGTGGTGGTGTAGATGTCCTGCAGCTGGGTGATGGGGGTGTAGATGTCCTGTAGCTGGGTGGTGGTGTAGATGTCCTGCAGCTGGGTGATGGGGGTGTAGATGTCCTGTAGCTGGGTGGTGGTGGTGTAGATGTCCTGTAGCTGGGTGATGGGGGTGTAGATGTCCTGTTGTTGGGTGGTGATGGGGGTGTAGATGTCCTGTTGTTGGGTGGTGATGGGGGTGTAGATGTCCTGTTGTTGGGTGGTGGTGGTGGTGTAGATGTCCTGTTGTTGGGTGGTGGTGGTGGTGTAGATGTCCTGCAGCTGGGTGATGGGGGTGTAGATGTCCTGTTGTTGGGTGGTGATGGGGGTGTAGATGTCCTGTTGTTGGGTGGTGATGGGGGTGTAGATGTCCTGTTGTTGGGTGGTGGTGGTGGTGTAGATGTCCTGTTGTTGGGTGGTGGTGGTGGTGTAGATGTCCTGTAGCTGGGTGATGGGGGTGTAGATGTCCTGTTGTTGGGTGGTGATGGGGGTGTAGATGTCCTGTTGTTGGGTGGTGATGGGGGTGTAGATGTCCTGTTGTTGGGTGGTGGTGGTGGTGTAGATGTCCTGTAGTTGAGTGGTGGTGGTGTAGATGTCCTCTAGCTGGGTGATGGGGGTGTAGATGTCCTCTAGCTGGTTAGTGGTGGTGTAGATTTCCTGTAGTTGGGTGGTGGTGGTGGTGGTGTAGATGTCATGCAGCTGGGTGATGGGGTTGTAGATGTCCTCCAGCTGGGTGGTGGTGGTGTAGATGTCCTGTAGTTGGGTGGTGGTGGTTAACAGTTCTGATAACTGATCTGGGATCATGTGCTGGGATGTTTCCAAACCAAACCATTGTGCATCAAGGTGTGATGCTCTCTATTGTGAACCGGTAGAAACTGATCAGGGATCAGGGTTAACATGTCAGAGGTCAGACACCACCATAGCTGTTTATTACTGTCCTCAAATGAGAACGTGTAGCAAAAGGGGATGAAAGAAAAGCAACATTGAACAGGATTGGCAGCCTAAAGGGTTTGGCTTCTTTAAAAATAGTTTTAGTAAATGTGGAACTAATTGTATCCATGACCTTTCATGTTTATTTCTGCTTTACGAAGAACGCGGCCATCGCTTTGCCCAGCGCTCACACAGCCCCCCCTGTTCCCGTCGGACATCTTTATCCTCCAGAGATCACCTGTCTAAGGGCAGCAGAGAGTTGTCAGGTTGGATGTTATGTTTGATTTTTCACACTCAGGTTTTTTTTACTTGTTTTCTTCACTCTAATACTGAATTGGGAAAATGGGCCAAAACTCCACATAATGAGCGACTGTCAGCACACACATCAATGTTAAAAGTAATAATGTGTGGATTTTAGGTTTGGTCATTATCAGCTTTTTTTAGTCAAACATTTTCCACATGAAAACTGCCCATGTGATAAAATATCCTGTAAGATCATGACACATGTATGAAAATATTCATGTTTGAGGTTTGTCGATGATCTTGTTGTGTTTCCCTCCTGCGGTTGAACAGGAAGTTCTCGCATTGGTGTGAAGCGTTCACATGACACCAGTCGTAGTCCGTCATCCTCCTCAGCTGACCACAGCTCCAAACACGAGCCGTCGGCATCAGTCACCAAAAGCACCAAGACTGCAGCAAAGCCTGGAACCAAAACCACTAAGCCGGTAAGTGTCAGGGCTGTTTTAGGGTTAGCCCCTACACCTGCTCCGTAATGTGGTGTCAGGCTGTTGAACCTGAGCCTTAAAGCTCTACGTGATTGTGTTGTTGGATTTTAGTTTGTTAAACCACCACCACTGAAGAAGAAGAAGAAGGCAGTGGCTCCGGCCAGCCTGGGCCCATCTGTTGCAGATCGCCTGGTTTTTCTCACCAACATCCCAAAGGATGCCACAGAGCAGGAAGTTAATGACTTGGCTGGGTCTTTTGGCAAGATAAACAATGTGGTTCTCATGCCGTGCTCTGAGGAAGAGGGCGAGAAGGACCAAGGACAGAAGGTATCCTCTAGGTGTTCTGAGTGGAATTGCATTATTTTGTGTCAGTAAAACATAACCATTAATCACGTTTGATTCTCTGGCGTGCATCAGGCGTCTGTGTGCATGATGACGGCAGAGGACGCCAAGGCTCTTGCTTCTGCTACAAAGCTCCACATTAGAGACCAGGAAGTCACTGCTTCAGTCGCCAAGGTGAGGCTTCCAGGTTATTAAGTATAAATATTATTTCTGTCTCTCTAATGGAACCCTTCTCATCAAATAGAAGGCAAGGGGCTGAAAATGATCTGGTTATCATGCAGAACAAGCTTTTTACTCTCAGCAGTACTCAAACATTCTCAGGCCTTATGCACTGAATGACACGAGCATCCCAGAAAGTTCTGAGTGATAACTCAGAAAATAGACCTAGTTTAATGAAACTGTCTTCCTGAAAGAGAGGTAGATGAGTCTCGAGTCGCATTTACACTGCGGCCAGCTCGGTCTGGCCCTGGTGAAGTCATTGGCGTTAATTGTGCAGAGCCGACTGCATTTTTCGGTCCTTCTTTCTTGCGACCCATTTCGTGCTGAGCCCATCTATGTACTGATTGGCCAGCTGGAGTTATGTCACTCTCATGCCTACCTACTAGTAGTAGCCTCTGATTGGCGTGTAGAATCGGCCAGCTTGGGCTTCCCACATGGGCAATTCTCTGGCAGTTTGGATGCAGTGGGGTTAACATTTTCTCTGACCGGATGATGCTTCAGCTGTAGCTTGGGTGGGAGCTGCTGCACAGTGAGCATAGGAAGCTGTGTGCTTGTTGCCAGTCTCCTAAAGCAGCACTGCTCATGCCTGATTTGTGGTCCATAGGAAAAACACCACCAGCTTCTCCGCACCTATTTAATGGAGCCGGCCTATGTCCTTGCCAGCGTCTGCCTTCCTGTGGAAACACAACCTGGCCATGCTGGGGCGGGCTGTCCCCACCCAGCCCAGGCAGAGCATACCAAAGTGTTAACCCGCTATCTGATACATCTTTTCTATTGAGCTCATTCTGTACCAGAGCCTGACCATGAACTGGCTGTTTCTGGGTTTGTACGGGTGCTTGAAATCCTTGAAAATACTTTAATTTTAATAACGTGTTTTTAAGGTATGGAAAGTGCTTGATTTCTGTATTAAGTCCATTACTAAGCTGCCAAATAAATAAACTTAAACATGATTCCAGTGATATAAAGTCGTGATCTGGCCCAGTTTCCGATCTCGTGATCAGATAGAATCATCCCTATTATTAAAGATGAGGTGAAACATTCCTCTTGAGTCCTTAAGTATTGTTTTGTCTTCGTCGTATGGTGCTCGAAAAGTTCAAAAGTGTACCTTAAAAATGCTTGAAAAGTGTTTGAATTTGTCAGTGGGAAAAGTGTAAGAACCCTGTTCTTTGGTTTTCCATCACCAAAGCACCTGTTTTTTGGTTCAAAACCAGTTCCTTCCATAGCACCATCTATTTGTGGGGTCATTACTGGTGCTGGCTAAGAACCGTTTTCACCCCTGCCCGTATGGTGATCCAACCAAGGTGTGTGGCTAGAACCAGTTGGACTTCAGCCAGGCTGACAAGTTTACGTGCATTTTAAAAATCTGAAGGCAGTCTTATTTAAAGCAATAGTTTGGTTAACTAATGCACATGTAAACACACTGACTGACAGTCAATTTTTTTAATAGAGTACTTTTTTACGCCTGAATAGGAGACCAATGTGTTGTGTACACGAACATAATATCACACAGTAAGATCAACATAAAAAACATTTATGCTAAAAACGTTAAAAATAAAAACTGACTAAAGTTACCTGTCAGTAATCCTCCTGTGCTATTCTGAACCATCTGAAGCCTCGCAGCAGCTTTCTGGCTCCTACCAGCATAGATAGCATAATGATAAAAGCTAGGGATGGACAATATATCTGTATCGGCCGATGTTGGTCATTTTTTAACATATCGGTATTGGTCCGATAAATAAAACCGGGCCGGTATTGACAGCCGATATTTTTCCATCTTGTCTCCGTTTGTTCACCTGCTTCAGAGGGTGGGGGTGGGGGGATTCGTAATTGTTTAGTCCAGTGAATGAAATCATCTCTGAAGCATAAATGTGTGTGTTGTGTGTACATAATAATGTAAATTCAGCTTTAATCGTTTTCATTTTAAACAAAATCTTCTGATTTTAGAAGCATTAACGTCAGTTTATCGGTTATCGGCCATAACAGTGATCTTGATATCTGTATCAGCCCAAAATTTTCACATCGGTGCATCACTGATAAGAGCACAGATAACAGTTTCTAATAAAGGCTTGAATACGAATGGCTTAATCCTTGCAATGTGGCGAAGATCAAAAAAGCAGTTTCCACAAAGGGACCGGTTCTTTGAAAGATCATCTAAGAACATCTAAGCACTGGCTCTGGTACCAGCACCGGTTCTTCTTGGGTAGAAAAGGGTTTTGAGTATGCACCGAAAATAACATTCTTGGCTTAAACCGAGGTAACCAAGGCTGAAAACCGAAACACGGAAAGAAACGTTTGTCAATAATTAGAATAATAGCATTTATGGCTATGATGTGTACTAACCTCACTAGAATCAAGGCATTGCATCAAGTCAATTACAAAATCATGAAAACATAACAATGCATAATATAACTTTAAAAGGTTTCACTTGATCCCACTCATGTACATCAAATGAACATGAATGAATGAAACAAAAAGGGGTTCACCTGACGGCCTGATTCTGCCATGTTGTTTTGGTGATTTAGGTGTTTTGGTCAAAAACCGAAAATGTACTTTTGGGCGGCTTTCCACTGAAAAATTTCCAGTGAATGAATTTTTGGTGCATTCCTATTTTTGAGTCTAGTTTCTAATCCTAGTCCACTCTTTCAGCTTCCTGTTTTTCAATAATTAAAACATGACAACCAGTCAAGTTGACATCTCAAGCTAATTTATCTCAAACATTTAAACACATTTAACTGCTGATTTCATTGAAGAACCGTAATTTGTGTTTGTTCCTACATAAATCACTTGTTTGTTTGTTTTTTTGTGTTGCAGAGACCCGAGGAGCAGATTCACGACTATAATGGGTGTGTTTCAAATCTTTTTAAAGAGGTCCTTCACTAAGAAACCATTTTTAACTTATTTTTGAAAATCAGCCACTCTGTCAAATAGCAGAAAATAAGACTTTCTGTCATCTGAAGCTACTCCCTGTATGACTTACAAGGAATTCATTCCTACTAGAACACTGAAAATGTATTAAAAATATGAGTGATGGACCTCTTGAAGCCATTCTTTTCTATGCCACTGCAAAAGTTATCCTGAATTCAGCTCTCTAACTTTATTTTTGTCTCTTTGCAGCAAACCCGATGCAGACATAGGTGTAGCGGATGCAGCTGTCAGCAGCAGAGGTTGGGAATGAAAACAGGCTTTTTACCATAATAAAATCTGATAGAAATGAGTTGATCAGTGAGAAACGCACTCCAGTTTAAACACGATTCCAATTGAATCCAAAGCAGCTGTGATTTAAAGCAGAAATATAAAGTTTTTTTCTCAGAGGGCACCACCTGTACGCCCCTCTTCCAGCTTCTACGATGCAGCTGGAAGCAGCACCTCTCACTCATATGTTTATTTAAGATTTATATTCACTGGTCTGAGGTTTTTTATTTTTTCAAAAAGTTTAGTCCTTGAGTTGTTCTTTAATTTTGTTTGTCTTTAAGAAGTTTTTTTTTTTTTTTTGACTGTGAAGGCGATTGTAGCCGCCCCCTCATTCCCCGTGTTTCTGGAAGCAGCTTGAGAGCACCGCCTAGTTTAGAAACTTCTACAAACGCCCTCGCATGCTCTGTGATTGACATCTGTATGTAAGCAGATGCCGAATGTTATTGGCTAATGCTGAGTAGTGGTCAAGAAAAATTATATGGGGCGCTATTAGTAATGCACAATATAAACTGTAGTAGAAATAATAATAATTTAGCCAACAGTAGAGATTAAGACTCTACTGCAATTGCACATGAATATTGTCAAACTCCGTCTACTTTAGACCAAAGCAGGTGGATGAGGAAGTGCTTGTAAAGAAGATGAGGTGAAGTTGAATTAATCACCTGCACATGTATAGCACCTTTCTGAGTCAGAGGACTCAAAAGCCCTTCATACGACAGTCATTCGTCCATTCACACCCTAGTGGTTCCCCGGGGCACAGTGACAGAGGCCAGGCTGCCGTACACAGGGGCTATGCACACATGTATGATGTGTCTGTCAGCTTTTACCAGCTGTGGGTTTTAAATGTTCTGATTCTTTTGATTCCTTCTATCAGGAGGTGATATTGACCAGAAGACTCCAGACCAGGTATGTGATCCCGATCCATGTGAATAATTGTGGTGGGGATTACAGTTCCTAGTGGGAAGTTGAACCCAACTCTGCTGCATTAGCGGTTGATCTACTGGTTTAGATTTTGCAAATGGGTTAGAGTTGATGCTTAGGAGAGTTTGGGGGGTGTACACATCAAGTCCCTAGAGGCCACACGCCTTCATTTTTGACACACTTTCCTTGCTCCAACATTCCTGATAAAGAGTCTAGTTAAGGACTTGTTCAGTGAGGTTGGGTGTGCTGAAGGACAAAAACAAGCTGGAGAGGACCTTCAGGCCTTTACTTGGACTTAAGTATCAGATCGAGTCCTGACGAAGAAGTTCTTTTGAGCACAGACATCGCAATGTACGTGATCTTTAAACCGCAGTTCATGCTGTGATGTCAGACGTGTACAAGCTCCATGCACTCTCAGTAGGGATGCTTGATAATGGCTTCTCTACCGATTTATGATGCACCAGTATTGTCTGACTCTTAATTTCTGATATTGATATATGCTGTCCAACCCCCCCCCCCCCCCAACCACTCTCTCGTAAGAAAAGAAAAACACACATTTTAGGTTACTAATAGGCCTTTTCCATTGTCCAAACTGGCATGGAATGGGAAGGATTTGGGTCGCTAATTTTTTCGTTCCGATTGTAAAACCGGTCCAGACAACCAACCCGGACTGCGCCAGTCACTGGACTTTTTTGGCTCCCTTCTTTTGTAGGTCCAGCCACTTCTGTAGCAACGGTTAGGGTGGAGCAACAACACAGTCCACTGATTGGTTGACAGAAATATATCACTACTTCCAACAAGCAAAACAAACGAAGTTCTGCTGTTTGTATTTTCGTTAGCTGTACATAAATGTGAAATAATGCCAGCAAGTAGCAAGTTTTGGTCACCTTCAGAGTTCCATACATTTCTCATCGTCACGGATCCATCCATTTTCAGCCGCTTATCTGGAGTCGGGTTGTGGGAGCAGCAGCCTAAGCCGAGAGGCCCAGACTTTCCTCTCCCCAGCCACTTGGGCCATCTCCTCCGGGGGAAACCCCAAGGCACTCCCTGGCCAGCCGAGAGACATAGTTCCTCCAGCGTGTCCTGGGTCGTCCCTTGGATCTCCTCTCAGTTGGACGTGCCTGGAAAACTTCACCAGGGCGGCGTCCAGGAGGCATCCTAATCAGATGGCCGAGCCACCTCAACTGGCTTGATGTGGAGAAGTAGCAGGTCTACTCCGAGCTTCTCCCAGATGATGGAGCTTTTCACCCTATTTCTAAGGGAGAGCCCAGCCACCTTACGAAGGCCGCTTGTATCCGCAATCTTGTGCTTTTGGTCACTACCTAAAGCTCGTGACCATAGGTGAGGATAGGAACGAAGATCGACCGGTAAATCGAGAGCTTTTTTTCCCGGCACAGCTCCCTCATCCCCCCCAGTAAAACGCCCGCACCACTGCAGATGCAGCCCCAATATCACATATCGATTTCACATTCATGAACAAGACCCCGAGATACTTATTCCTCCACTTGGAGCATTCTACCCTTTTTCAACTCAAGACCGTGGTCTGATTCTCATCCCACCTTCTTCACACTTGGCTGCAAACTGCTCCAGTGAAAGCCAGAGATCACTGTCTGATGAAGCCAACAGGACCACATCATCTGCAAAAAGCAGACTTGATCCACCAAAACAGATCCCCTCAACACCTCGGCTGCGCCTAGAAATCCTGTCCATGAAAGTTAGGAACAGAATCAGTGAACTCTCACTGGAAATGAGCTCAACTTAATGCCGGCAATGCAGACCAAGCTCTGACACCGGTCATACAGGGACCTAAATGCCTGTATCCAAGAGCCTGTTACCCCCCACAGGGCCCCCAAGGGACACAGTCGAACGCCTTCTCCAAATCCACAATAGACACATAAATTGGTTGGGCAAAAGCAAGGATCCCCCAAAGGGTGTACATCTGGTCCAGTGTTCCATGGCCAGGTAGAAAACCGCATTGTTCCTCCTAAATCTGAGGTTTGGTAATCCGACGGACCTCCTCTCCAGAACCCCTGAATAGACCTTACCAGGGCGGCTTAGAAGTGTGAGCCCCCTGTAGTTGGAACACACTCTGCGGCCCTCCTTTGTAAATAGGGGGACCACCACCCAAGTCTGCCAATCCAGAGAAACTGCCCCCAATGTCCATCCGATACTGCAGAGCCGCATCAGCCAAAACAGCAACACCCAGAGCCTTAAGGAAATTCGTGGGGATCTCATGCACCCCTGGGGCCTTGCCACCCTTTTTACCACCTGAATGACCTCTGCCCCAGAGATTGGAGAGTCCAACCCAAAGACCCAAGATTCCACTTCCTCACTGGAAGACCTGCCGGTGGGATTGAGGAGGTCTTCGAAGTATTCCGCCCCCCGATTCACAACGTCTCGACTAGAGGTCAGTAGCACACCATCACCACTGTAAACGGTGTTGGTAGCGCACTGCTTTCCATTCCTGAGATGCAGGATGGTAAACCAGAATCTCCTTTAAGCCACCTGGAAATCTTGCTTTGGTCTCACCAAACTCCCACGTACGGTTTTTCCCTCCATCACCACTCGAGCCGCATTCCACTTGGACTGCCGTTACTCATCAGCTGCCTCTAGAGTCCCACGGGCTGATAGGACTCTTTTGTCAGCTTTACAGCATTCCCAACCGCCGGTGTCCACCATCGGGTTCGGGGGTTGCCCCCACGACAGGCACCGACAAACCTGTGGCTGTGGCTTTGGCCAGCCACCTTTGACAATGGAAACACAGAACATGGCCTACTCAGGACTCGATGTTCCCCGCTTCCCTCGGGACGTGTTTGAAATTCTGTTGGAGGTGGAAATTGAAGTTCCTTCCGACAGGAGACTCCACCAGTCGTTTCCAGCAGACTCTGACAATACGTTTAGGCCTGCCAGGTCTGACCGGCTTCATCCCCCACCATTGGTCAATTTGACTCATACTTTTAACAGGTCTATAAAAAAAACGCAAGAGAAATATGAATGTATACATTTTCACAGCCATTTTTACAAGTGGATGTTTTGTCCACATTTCTGAGTGGTAATAAAGAGCATTTGCTGTGTCTGCGGCCATGGTTGGATCATGCAAATACACTCCAATTTAAGCTTGAGGGATGTAGTTTCCTGCCATGGGAGGAGAGCAGCAATGGGTGGTTTATCTGATGAAAATTCATTGTTAGAAAAGTAAAAATGCTTATTGTGCACCCCTGCTACATGGTGTCTCTAAACTCTGCTGTTGTTGCTCTAATTATTGTCATAACGTTTTTAAATTTCCTGCACGATGTTTAATGGTTGAACATATAAACTGTGACTTTATAGCTGGGAAATTGTGCGTCTAATATTCTAATTTCTGTACTTTGTCTTAAACAGAAGTGTAAGGTGTTGATCACAGGACTTCCCGCGAGTGGCTGGTCAGATGATGACATCATCAATCTGGTCCAGCCCTTTGGGCCTCCTTCTGACATCATCCTGGCAGCGAGCATTGGAAAGGTCAGCATCAGTGCTTTGTAAAATGAAACCTGACTTGTTACCTAGTGATAGTACTACTCACTGTATTACATAGTCCTGACAGTTTTCTCCGCTCACCACAGCATTAACCAGATAACAAAACACACACTGTTATACATAAAACTTATCAACGGGTTCCAAGCCAACCAGCGCAAGTCCCCCACCCAGCTCTGCTCCTGCCTTCGCCATTCCTAACATGGCCACGCCCCTCCCGCACGTTCTCCTGCCGGTGTCTTGTCAGCTCACTTCAATAGGCTTAATGAAATAAATCCCTCAGGAGCGGCCGAAATGAGCTTCCTCCGTAGGGTGGTCGGGCTCAGCCTTAGAGATAGGGTGAGGAGCTCGGACATTCGGGAGGGACTCGGCATAGAACCGCTGCTCCTCCTGATCGAAAGGAGTCAGTTGAGGTGGTTTGGGCATCTGGTCAGGATGCCTCCTGGACGCCTCCTGGGGAGGTGTTTTGGGCATGTCCTGCTGGCAGGAGGCCCCCGGGTCGACCCAGGACACGTTGGAGAGGTTACATCTCCAATCTGGTCCGGGAACGCCTTGGGGTCCTGCCAGAGGACCTGGTGGAGGTGGCCGGGAAGAGGATGGTCTGGAGCTCCCTAGTTGGGATGCTGCCCCCGCGACCCGGATAAGCGGAGGAAGACGACGACAACATTTAGCCATCCATGTCCACAGATCATATATTCCATGTAGGGCTGGGCGATACGGTCTAAAATCTAAAAAACAAAATATTGAGGATTTCACCTCGATAACAATATGTGGACGATAACTACAGGTATGCTCAGAAACAAAAGTTGTCCACTAGATGGGGCTGTCACATGTAACGGGTAACATCACATTTTTATGTGACTCATACAGCTCATTAAAGGGACATGAGCGTTGCCAACCTACACACATCTTTTCATTTTTCATCAAATTTATTGACATGGGAAAAATAAGAGAAATCTTGATAACGAAAAATTTTCGATTTATTGCCCAGCCCTGATTCCAAGTCTCATATTCATTCAGCAAAAAATGATGGAGTGGGCACAGAAAACAAGTTTTGTGTTATTTTTCGATATAGCAAAAATTCTAACCAAGCGAAAATGACTTGTGGCGACAGCGCCAAAATGTTTTTTAGAAGAAAGGCTTTTAGCGCTTCTTTTGGTTTCAAAGACATCTTCAAGTCATGTAGAACAAAGCAAAGAGCTGCAGCGAACTCCGCTATGGACGCCATGTTTATGAGAAACTCAGCGTTGTGGTATGTGAATTCTCAGGGGGTGGGGCTACTTGAATAGAAGAATCAAAAGTATTGAGAAGACGGCTGAAAATGAGTCTATGCAGTAGAAGAGTTCCCAGACCCTATGCTTCCAATTAGATAGCATGGGCCTGGCTGATCAGGCTAGCCAAATTCCTCGTCGGGAGCATAATCGTGTAAAAAGCGGTGAATGTGAGGGTGATTTGCACATGCCTGATTGGCTCTGCAACAGTTTTTTGAGCTGTCCCACGACCAAAATCGGCCTCCGAGAGTCTACAAGCATATTTGAAAACCTACACCTCCTGTCTGCAATCGATGAAACTGAATGAATGAAAATGAAAACACACCTTTGGCACGCCGCAGCAGCAAGACTCCGCCTCTCTGCTTTGGTTTCAGTTCATGTTTAAAGGCAGATTTATAAACTATACACCAGTTTTTATTTTTCTTAATATCCCAAGTTACACCGGAGTTATACTAAAAATAATTAAACTACATTTTTAGACAATCAGCTGAATTGGGAAAACTGCAATTCTGTGATCTGTGAGAGCTGAGAGGCGATGAGCTCACGAACATAAAAAAGAAAACACAAAAACATGAGATCCCTTTTCTGTCGGTGGAAATCTACATATTCAGCCGCTAAGGACGGTTCAGTAGCGTTTATCTGCAGAGGGACAGAGGAAGCTGCGCTCCGTGACAGCGGGTGTGATGAGCTGAACCACAGAAAAGTTTTGACAGAGTGACATGAACAATCCTGCGTGATGGCTGAAAATTGCAGTGTGATCCGGGCTTAACTCCACAGGACGGACACACACACACACACACGCACGCACGCACACACAGGGTCCGAAATTAACACTCGCCAAATGCGAGCAAATTGCTCCATTTGGCGAGTAAATTTTTGAGCTCTATCTGCCACATAGCGAGTAAATGTTTGCACCAAATTAGTTATGTTTATCAGTCATCTTCCATGGATGTCTGTGATACTCCTCCCGCCTGCACGCAACGTACACAAACCTACACGAAACGTGAACGCCGCATCCAACGTCATTTCCGCCTATCCCATTCAATCAGTTTATCAAGTTAGCAGTTAGCTTCGTGTTAAAACTAGCGGTGAAATGTGGCGGTGTTTAACTGGAGTCAGCCAGCCTTCCAAAAGAAAACTCGTCGAACTGGAAGAAAAACCACCAGGACCAGTGGCAACCAGAAGATTTTGTGAAAAGTGGCGAACTGGAGATGGCGACGCCGTGAGACAATGGCTACATTATGATGGCCACGCAGATGTGTCATGAGATTTGAAGCGTTGCTGCCTTTCACAGACACTTTTTCTGCACGTGCTGCAAACAGGATAGCCGTCTTCTATCAGCTGTCCCTCAGCATTCTTCAAATATCCAAAAGATGCCCGTACTTCCGACTTTGTCTTCTTTGAGGGATAATAAATGTCCCGAGTGCCGTCTCCTCCTGTGGCCATTATTTCAGCTTTAGCTTCAAGAAAGTTTTGGTTGTAAACAACAAAGTGCGCATGTGCCGCCGGCAACTTCAGCAGATGATACGGTGGCTGGTAAGGGTCACCGCGCCTACACCGCAGCCACGGTAACCCACAGAGATAATATAGTTTTTAAAAAACAAGACGGTTATTATTATTGTCAACTTTTTTACCGGGGTTGACTGCTACACCGGTTACCGTGACAACCCTAGCCCTGACACACTTTCAGATATTCTCATGGTGCAGCTGTGTTCTCCAGAGATCAAGGACTAGGACCCAAATGAGGCTGTAACGCTTTGGCACAAAGACGGTGTCAGAAGCAGGAGGCCAGACTTCATGGACAGAGAAAACAAGGAGTCTGGCTAGATTTCAATGAAAGGGTTCATAAAAACATCTCTAAAAATAAATAAATAAATAGTAAAAATGACAAAAGAGTTGTTTTTATTAATTGATGTTTTCATTATTTTGTCACTCTGTTTAGAATCAACATAATATAGAATTACATGCTTTAGGTAGATCTAAATCATTTAGAAATTTGGCCGGTAAAAAATATGCTTGGCCGGTAGATTTTCATCATCTACCGCGGTGAGTAAAAAATTTAGTTTCGGACCCTGCGCACACGCACACACGTACGCACACACACTCATCATGACTCCCTCAGGTACTGGCTGGCTGATTATTTTAGTGATTTTTATGTTGTGTTATTAACAGTCATGACTTTTTGTTCAACACATTTCTAATCTGGATCACTTCTAGTCCCCCCCCCCCCCCTCCCCCTCCCCCCCCCCCCCCAGCACAACTTACAAGGCATCATTTCTTCTAGAGACCAATTGCAAATGTATTAAAAGTTCGCGTGAAGTTGACCTTTAACACATTTTAAATAGCCAGAAGTGAAAAGAATGTGTTTGGATGGTAGGCACTTGTGTCACTGCCTGATCTGGAGGTGGCTGAAGAAATGGTGAAGGTCCACAGCTTCAAGCCTGCGAGGGTCAACAACACCGAAGTGAAAGTGAGCCTTGTGAAGCAGAACTGCGGCTTCGACTCTCCGGTACCGGTTGGCTCTTTGTTTTAGATTTAATTCAATGATTGATTTTTAGTTTAACACTAAAATTGTGTCTGACCCACAGGTGGCGCTGTATAACCTGCTCATAGGATCCCCAGATCCACTGGTGAGTGCTGGCCTGCATTTTGCATCTCTGCCCAGGGAGACTATAGTCTGGTTACTGCATTAAGGTTGGGCTTCGGTCCCTTCTGATTGGATGAGTCACAGCAGCTGTTGGGGATGCAGCAACATAGCAGAAGCTTCTACCGGGCTTCTTTTCCACCTGTTAGAACCTTAATCGGGTCTGTATCTGCTGTGCATTGCAGGGCAACCCAACCCCCGTCGGCTGGAGCAGTTTGCTGGTGATCAAGAATGTTCCAGACTCATCGTCTGGCTCCTCTGAGGTCATAAAACTGGTGCGACGATTTGGTACGGTCATCAAAACTCTAGTGCTCAACGGCATGGTGAGTGCTCAGGACCGCCCTTACCTTTAAGGTGACGTAGTTAGGGGATGAATAAATGTGTTTTCTGCTCATTTCAGGTCATTTGTGAGATGGCTACAGCAGCCATGGCCTTGTCAGTCTTCAAACGATTCCAGATGTTTCCCTGCATCATCAACAACAACCCTCTGTTTTTCCAACGCAGGGCCGACCCCAAACCCTGCACACAGACTAAAGTCATTGCTGCGTTTTGTGGCTCCTCCCAGGTCAGACCTTTGGGCAGAAAGATCCGTCTTCTAGTGTTGCTTTACAATCCTGATAGAAGACGGTGGTGTGTGTGTGTGTGGGTGTGTGTGTCGCCGCTGACAGGATAAACCTCCTAGTGAGAAGGATGGCCCAGCAGCAGCTCCAAAGGAAATGGCAACAGCACATCAGCAGGATTCTCAAACTCCACAAGATTCTGATGATGAGGTGAAAAGCATTGAGAAGACGGCTGAAGATGAGTCTCTGGGAGAAGGTGATAAAACGGAGGAGGTCGGGCCAGACTCAGACCTGGTGACGGACTCGAAGGAAACTTCAGCAACTCAAACCGATGACACAGAAGAGAAAAAGGACCTTGGCGCTGTGGAAGAAGAAAACATGCAAAAGACAGAACCTGTTAGCTGTGAAGGCAAAGCAGCTTCCCAGGAGCCGGCGGTGCCAGAGCTGCCAAAGGTGCAACATCTGCTCTGCCTCTGGAGCTGCAGGTCATTCTCTGGCTCAGGTGTCTTCATGTCTGTTTGTGTTGTTCTGTGTGTGAGCAGATGACCCAGGCGATGGTCAACGTCTTACTCATGGAGTGCAGAACCAGAACCGCCAACCAGACCAACAACACAGCCGCTCCCTCTGGTGGTGAGGAGGACGCACAGCGTGACACCGAGCAGGGGGGCCGAGCTGAAGATGAGACCAAAGACTTGGCTAAAAGCACAGAGGAGAAGGTGAAATTGCAGGAGAGGGAGAGAAAAGAGAGAGAGGCAAAGAAAGAGAAAAAAGAGAGGGAGAGGAGGGCTTGGGAGAAGGAGAGGGCCAAAAGGGAGAGGGAGCGTTTTGAGAGAGTCAGAAGGGAGAGGAGAGAGGAGGAGAGGAGAGAGAAAGAGAGGAGGGAGAGGAGAAGAGGCTCTGGGTCGAGTTCCTCCTACAGGTCCAGTTCCTGGCGTGACAAGCGCTACGCCATGGAGGATGAAGCCAGAAAGGTCAGACGACTGCCAGATCAGCAGCTGGGAAATCCTGGAATTCAATCTCATCCCAACTGGTCTGCTTTTGTTTTGATGTCAGGAGGAGGTGGAGGAGTCTGAGGACTTCCCTTTCAACTTCAGTGACTTTGTGACAGTTGATGAAGTCGGAGACGTGGCGGACCTTCCTTGTGCGCCGTCTCTCACCACGGAAACTTCAAAGGAAGGTGGTGATGCTCCCACAGCTGCTCAGCAGGAAGCTCTCCAGGTACATCTTCAGGTTCATAAACTCAAAGTTCTATCTTCTGACGGGAACTTTTCTAGCAACAAAGTCACCCCAAAATTCCACTATCTCCGCTCCGGCACGAACTCCGCAGCAAAAACGGTCCCGTTGTAGTCAATCAGAGCTGTTCCACCACTGCGGCCCGCCGTTCCGCCATCCGGCAAAAACAGGATCAATTCTATTTTTGCCGGACGCCGGAGCACCAGGAGTAACGTCATTTGTATCTGTAACATTTATATCCTTGATGACAGCTGAAACAACGTTCAAAGAACGGTTCGGAGTGAAAATGGCTATTTTGTTGCTAATTAGCAGGAAATATCTAGAAGAAAGTTCTACAGAAAGTAGCTAAGGGTCCTCAGAAATGTAGCTAGCTTTGTCACTAGGCGTTAGGAACAGCGACAAAGTGGCACTGCCTCTCTCTCTGCTGCTAAAGCTACGGATAGCAAATGTTACGGGCGATGCCTGAGCGTGAACGCGCATGAAGCAGCCTGCTCGACCCGAGCATCTCTCTTTTTCTGTGATTTTACAGAAAAACAGGCAATCACAGTAAAAATGCCAGGGCTCATTCTACAGGACCAGGGCATTGCAGGAGAATGTATGAAGAAGACATTTATTATTTCTATACATGTTTTGGCTGTCAAATAGGGCTGGGGTAAACGATTATTTTTAAAACGATTATTCTGACGATTATTTTATCGAATAGTCGACTATTCTAATGACTATTTAGAAAATTCGTCTAATGATTATTTTTCTATTGCACAATTAACAAAAACCAGAAAATCTCAAATTCCTCAAAAACATTGATAAGTTGTTACTGTAAGAGAATAAACACTACAGGCCTTCCATTTTGTAAAACACTGCTTTTATTGGTTATGTTCTGGTGACGTGTTGAACTTGGGAGTGCAGGCTGCTGCCTGAGAGGTGGTTGGAGACGGAGTGTCTCCATGCTGCTTTGTCTTGGTCACTTATGAGCGTGAGGCGGGTGGTGTTACGACTCTTCCTGGGGAGTTTGGCTCGTGTGCAAAAAGGAAGGGACAATAACGGGATTTAAAAGTTAAAATGATGATCAGGTTTATTTACAACTACAAAAAATCATAAATCTTTCCATCCACAGGTTGGGAATAATAAAACTAATTCTGCATGTGGGGAATTAAAACAAAAGTACAAATAAGTAGGGATGTCCCACTGGGCAAAGATTACAGGGTTCTGGACCAAAATAAGGATCTCCAAAGGTCCAAACTCTAAACTGGGCGGTTAAACCAAACTCAAGGTGATATTTTAAACTAAACCAAAACCCACAACACTCTAAATGTAATAAAAGGGAGATCTGCACCACAAAAAAGATGAACTCTAAACCAAAACGTAACAGCTTATCCAAACGCAAGAAGCTGTTAGCGAAGATGCTAACAGTAGCTTTACCAACGTTAAGTTCAAGTTACCAAGTTTAAATAAACCAAAAACACCCAGCAGCAAACAGACCAGCACGGAGGAGAGACTGCTACCACCAAAACAGCTCTCCTCATGTCTGAAAGAAGCTCCTTAATGAAGGGAGAAACGCTCCCGGTGATTTTCTACATCTGTGGTAGAGTTGGAGCAGCGCATCTGACCCCGGAAGTTGTTGTCCGTTGCCGGGAGACGAAGGGGCAAAACAGGAAAGGAATGTAGTAGCGGACGGACGTTGTTCCGGGTCTTCTGTATTTGGTGGAGATGTTAGTGAAGGCGGAGAAGAGAGCGAACTAGAGGAAAAACAGGCAGATTCCTCCTCTATTTACAAACTCCTGGGGATGCAACAAGTGGGCGCGGTGCGTCGACTACCGGATCTGACGTCGACAAATTTTTAGAATCGAGCCGTCGACATCATCGAGGCTTCGCTACAGCCCCAATGCACACACACATGCATGCACGCACATGGATGCACACACACACACACTGGATGTTTGGCTCAAAGTGGCCCGCAATCTGGGAGCAGAGCCGGAGGAGAGATCTGGTCCAGGACAGTGTGGATACTGGGCGTCGTTAAGCCATGGGAGGCTCCTTCCCTTAGCCTCTAGCCTGATGAGATGTTGGTTTCTCAGTGATGCTCCACTTCTTACCTTCTAGGACACGCCTGTGGAGAGTACAGCGACCTCGATGAAGTCTGAAGAGGTGTCAGAACCCGATGGTGTGAGTGTGGAGAAAGCTTCAGATGGTTTGATGGAGTCCCTTTCAACACTTGGTCAGGAGCTCAACACCACACAAGCTCCACCTCTGGCTTCAACGCTTCACTCTTCTCCACTGATTCAACCTGAAGCACCAGAGGCTGACCTGAAACCTAAGCCAGGTACAGCCTCCTCCTCAGGCACCATCCTGTCAGTAACAACTCAGCGCATGTCCCTGAAAGCCTCTGTTGTTCTTCAGAACCTCCGGTGACCTCCTCCCTGGACTCAGGTGCTGAGACCGCTCCTGAAACTTCAGCTGATGTTCCCTCAAACAGCCAAGCAGCAGTTGTGACTGCAGGGAACAACAAAGAGAAGGAGAGCGGTCCTGAGGACCAGAGTGAGGAGGGGGAGAAGAAGGTGTCCCAACAGGAGGATCAGAACTTGACGGAGGGAGAGAAGAATGAGGCGATGACTGAAAGTGCAGAACCAGGTAAGATTCAGAGTAGAGGAGAAACAGAAGCTCTGGTTAGTTTGGGTTGTGTCCAGTCCTGATGCTTAGGTGTTACTGGAAGAGTCTGGAGCTCCAGCTCATCTCCTCAGTCCGTTCCTCTGTAGCATGTCAGAGACTTCAGCCAGCCTGACAGGACAAGCTGTCTTCTTTAATGTCCGTGTCCTGGATTCAGAGATGGGACTGGTGCATTACTAGTATCATAAAAAACCCTTACAGGGTCAACGCTTGTTCTGTCTTACCTTCACAAACCAAATTTGCTGTTTTATTTGAATGAACGTCTGTCTTTGGTGACAGGACTGCAGACTTCGTCTGTGGACGGTCGACCTGCAGGTCAGCTGCCAGCTGTCTCGCAGACAGGTAAAGACCATCAGCACAGGCTAATAGAGATTTAAAAGGGACTACGCACTTGTGAAGTTCCTCAGGCTGCACAGGAAGCTTGTTTAAATCCTTCAGCACACGTTCACAACAGATCCTTCTGAAAGTCTGACCCTTATGGCCCTTTCACACTAGCATCAGCTCCACTCCGCCTGGATAGCATAGAAAGTGTTCACGTTAGCATAGCCTGCTTTTTCTCAGGGTGCAGCCGGCCTGTTTTTCAGCCCTCTTCCTGAGGTGGTCTGCTTCAGGCTGACCAGGGCCAACACACCCACTGCTGACTGATTAGCTGGTAGGGCTGTCGCGGTTGAGGAATTCCCCCTGCGGTGATTCAGGGTGGCTTAATATTGCGGTGTGCGATATTATTGCAGCACTTTTTTTTATTGCAGTACTATCTAAACATAATTTTTACACATTTAAAAAAGGTTAAAAATTGCCGTGCCTTCTTTTATAACACTTTACTGAATGCAGATCAAAGGGCAGTAACAACACAGATCGCAGTAACGTTTGTTTGTCTGACAGTCGGAGTCCGACTGAACATAAAAACAACAAAATTCAGGAGAAGGTTAAACTTTTAAATGCAAATTTGGCTGCAGCATCTAACAAATAAGAAACAAGTCCCCATTGTGTTTAGTTGTTTAAAATCAAGCATAAAAAATTACATGTACCGAAGGGGGGGGGGGGGCACTATCATTTCACCTTCACACACACGAATGACGGTGATTTATAGCTCGGTCACGTCCTTGTTACCCACAAGGAAAACCAGCATGTTAACCATATACGGTTTGAGAGAGGATCTGAGAGGGGGGGCAACATTTCCAGCAACACTGAAAACCCTCTCGGATGGTGCGCTCGTTGCACTTAACCAGACACACTGATTCAGGAGGAGAGGTCACAAACAAACATAAAAGAGAGAAAATGAGGGGCAGTGAGAAACTTTTAACACACACGTACTTGCGTGCGACTCTGGCGAGCAAAGGGAATCTCTCCCGGTTGTTGCTCCACCATGTCAGGGGGGTTTCTTTAGGGTGGATGCGTTCCTCCTGCAGGTAGCGAGTGAGCTCCAGCTCGGCTCAAACTCTCTTCGGGACGGTTGCAGAAGCAGTGCTTGTCCGGGACTTCAGCAGGTCTCCGAGCGTTTATTTATTATTTATTGCCGCTGGTGGCAGCTCTGTCTCGGCCAAGGACCCTGGCTGCGCAGCAGCTGACGTACTGAAAACCAAAGCGCTCCCAAAGGAGCGAAGTAACGTTTGGTTTTGATACCAGTGCAGCCATCCTTCTCAACATGCATCATTGAGTTGAACCAAGTTCAGTAATCGCGGTGGCCCATGATGCAGCGCGGTGGGCTTCTTCATATTGCGATATTTCATTTTTGCGGTTACCGTGACAGCCCTAATAGCCGGCTCAAATTCATACCTTCCATTAGGGGAAGCCTCCGATTGGTGGGTAGAATCAGCCCACCCGGGCTTATGGCATTATCATGCTGATTACCTAGGAGCTGAGAACTTCTCTGACTGCATTCTTTGCACACATCCTTGCTTAGGAATGCAATCAACTGGGCCAGGCTGGGGCTATCCAGGCGAAGTGGAGCTGATGCTGGTTTCCTCTTTACTGAACAGGGTGTAAAAACCTTTAGATGTACTATTCCTTCTGTCCCTGTTACACTTGAGGCTAACAACAACAATAACAACAACAGCTTGACATCAATCATGGAGAGGAGGGAACAAGGAGTGGACAGTAGAGAGGGGGGACGGGTGCAGGGCGGGTGCTAGTTAAGAAGATGCTCTCTGAAGAGCAGGGTCTCTGTGAAGACAGTCTTGTCTCCAACAGGACAGTCTGGTAAGGCAGAGGACAACACAGACAGCAGAGAGGAGACGGAGTTGAGCGTGAAGTCGGACCAGCATCTCCCTCCATACGACGCAAACAATCCTGTTGGTAAGATTCGGTTTGACCTGTGGGGACGTTCTGCTGGTTCTGCTCTCGTAGCTGTCTCTGCTGTGCAGACCGCGACGGCACCAACCCCATGTGTCTGTCTCTACAGGTCTGGAGTATCTTGTTCCAAAGACGGGGTTCTTTTGCAAGGTGTGCAGTCGTTTTTTCAGTGGAGGCAAGGTGGCCGAGATCAGCCACTGCAGAACTCTGAAACACTACGAGAACCTGCAGGTCAGACAGCCGCTGAGCAGGGTTACACGTGATGGCATCAATCTGTTGGCTGATCCAACAGATGATGTCATCGATCCACTCAGTGTTGTGTAACTAAAGCCTAGTTTATGCTTCTCCGTTGGTGTGTCAGTGTTGTAGAATAGTTCTCCACCAGGACAGCAGAGGGCGCAGCGCTTTTCTGGCGCATCCTGCTATCAACGCAGTTTATTTAACCAATGAGTCGATTCTTGTTTGCAACGTCGATCTGGCCCAGAGGCAGCAGCGTCAGACACCTAGTTAGCTTTACATCAAAGAACAACAGGTAAGATAAAAACATACAAGATAAAAATAAGATAAAACTGTTGGAAATAAAGACAAAACACTGTTCTCAAATATAATATGTACGAGCAATCAGAACAGACTTAAAACAGTCTCTAAGTACTCAGAAGCACATTGATCAGAAACTATTGATCACCATGAATTATTGAAGGTAGATAATAGAATGTAGGTAGTGAGCTTCAGTGGTTTTTGCAGCTCATTCCAGTCCTTGGAAGCAGCAAACTGGAATGAGGAGCAGCCAAAGGAGGTGGGAGCTTTGGGAATGACCGTTGAGATTAAGTTACTGGAACGTGATTTGCGCTGGTTGTTGGAAGTGATGAGTAAAGAGAGATGATATGACGGGGTTCTACCAAGCCCGCATAATTCGGTTCTGGATATGAAGCAAACAAGGAAGTGGCAAAAATTGCAGTTCCACCCTCATCCACTAGGGGCGGGTGTCAGAAGTAATCAAATCCTCATTGACTCCCATGTTAAAAATGCCAATTTCACGCCAGAAATAAATAGCAAGAAAAACGCGGTAATGCTAAAAACGCCTGGGAAACTGTTAGCTTCGAACTACAGCCTCGCACGGTAGCCAGTCGGTCGTGCGAGCGTTCTAAACCTCCCTGAACCGTCTACAGGTGGTTCAGAACGCCTGTGCTCGGCTTCTGACCAAGTCCTCCAAACACACCCACATCACCCCGCTTCTCCTCCAGCTTCACTGGCTGCCAGTCAACTTCAGGGTTCATTTCAAGATCCTGGTTCTGGTCTATAGGGCCTTACATGGACAAGCACCATCTTACATTGGTGATCTTCTTAGTCCCTACACCCCCAGCAGGTCCCTGAGGTCCAGTGATCAAAGCCTACTGGTTGTGCAGCACCAGGCTAAAGGTCAAAGGTGACAGATCATCTGCTGCTGTGGCCCCCAGACTCTGGACCTCTCTCCCCCTGAGCCTGAGATCAGTGGACTCAGTGGTCTCCTTTAAAAAGCAGCTGAAGACTCACTTGTTCAAGCTGGCTTTTGTATGACCTTCTTCACCTCTCTCTCTTTATTCTGCTCTCCCCACCTATTCCACCTTCCTCAGGATCCACTGATTTCCCTCTTTCCTGTTCACTCTCTCTCTTTCTTTACATTTTTAATCACAATTGTCAATTTTTTTGCTCATTTTGGATATATTTGTAATCATTTTCTAAATGATTTTTTATATTTGTACATTTTTTGTTTTTGTGAAGTGCCTCGTGGTTTTTTTTATCTTGAGAGGCGCTCAAGAAAAAAATTTTTTACTTGTTTTTTTTTAGTTTTATTACAAAAAGTGCATTTTATGATGAAATTGATGAAAAAAACAAGAATTTCTTGATATTTCGCATAAAAAAATACAGCGAATCAGTGAAAAATGCCGCGAATCTGCGAATTCTCCCTGAAAAAGGCTCCAAAGAAAAAATCCGCGAATCCGCGATGAACGAACCGCGAAGTAGCGAGGCATTACTGTAGTCAACTTCACTATAGTGACTTTTTATGCCTGTCGTCGACTAGTCGCTGTCACGTGATAATGACCGGCAAGATGCAGTCCTCGGAAAAGACAGCAGCCTGCTATCAGCAGGTGACAAGCTCCTGCTCTCGGGGGGTGGGGGGGCAACGCGCTGTGCCAGACCGTAGGTTCTGACACGCGATCGTTCATGTCGGTTCATTTCCTTTAATGTTTTCTGTCTTTTATTTGCGCCTGATGCGTTTCGCTGCATGCTGTGGAGCGGGGCGCTGCGCGCATCACCTTGTCCTCCGACGCACTGATCACTGATACGGCCGCCAAACAGCGAGCGCTCCGCTGTTTTAGCGGTCGGTAGATCTTTTAGAACTGCAGTTCAAAGGTAACTCATGAGGTGAATATATATGAACCCAGGTAGCAGTTTCTCTTTGGGATTGAGAGGAGATGCAGGAAGATAATAAACAGGCAGGACAGAAAAATAGTCAAATAAAAACAAGTTAGTCTTTGTACCTGCTGGTTGCAACAAACAGACACCATTGAAGGTAATCAGAAGTGAGGAACAGAAAATGAAATAATTATTTTAATGTTTAGAGCAGCAGGAACTCCGAGAGGCTGCATGTGCATCAGTGAGTTTGCGGCCGCTGCGCAGGGGGAGGGGGGAGAGGGCTGAAGCAGGAACTACTGTTGTTCAAAGAAATGTGTTTAACTTTGAAAATGTGGGCGCAATTTTAATTGTCAAAAACTCCAACGAACCATTAGTTCATTTTGCTCAAATAGAAATAGAGGCCTGCCTCTAATACTGGCCCTCCTTCCAATAAAGGCCTGGAGCTTGATGAGCTTCAGTCAAATACATGCCCGGGCCTGTATTAGAGGATTTACGGTATTTTTGTACACCTTCAGTCACAAGTGCATCAACGTGAACCATACACATTCAGTTGGTTGTGAAAGGGGGCTATTTTTAGATGAGCACATTAGCTGGTTAAGCTAGTGGGAGCTTGCATCAGGGGGAAGTGCAAGTTTAAAGGGAACTGGATGGCTAATCCCATGTTCGTGACGTGGTTAGCACCGGTTACAGGTAATAGCTGGAAATTATAGCTTAAATGACATTTTAAAAAAATAGCTTAAATTTGGTCAAAGTGGTCTTAAAAAAGTCCTAAATTTGGCCCCCTTAAACCTGCAGATACCTTGGTTTATATTGTCTGACGTTCTTCGAGCTGCTCTGTGTCTGCTGCTAGACATCTTCGATTCTCCTTTTTGTGTGTGGAGAGGCAATGGCAGTGCTGTTGACAAACTCAATTGAAGCGGCGTCCTGACCAATCACAGGCTTGCGGTCTCCTCTGCTTTCGACGCTTAGTTAAAAAGTGGGCTCATCCTTGCGAGCCTGTTGGAGAGAGCCGTGTGACGGCGGATAACGGCGTTGTGTGTCTCCACAGACGTAGACGGAGAAGTATAAACTAGACACCGTGTTGTCCACATGTCGGGTGGTTTCAGGATCTTCACTAATAAACTTCTGTGTTCCAGAACTTCCTGCTGAAGATGAAACCCTCAGGCGTGAAACAGGACTCCAGCTGAACGCCGCCATGGAGCTGTGATGCCACATTAGTGCTTTAAAGTTTAGTTTACTGTGAAGTTGTTGTTTTTTTTTCCTCGAAGCAGCTGAGCTCGACACGTCAATAAAATGTTTTTACTGAATCGGTTACACCTCCAGTTATTCGTATCTGTCAGACGAAGGTCCGGCAGCTTACTGGATGACATGTAAACATTTAGATTAATGTTCTGGGTTATGATTACTAGCATCTTAGCATGATGCTGTTTTCTGTTCCAAGCTTTTCTATCACTGTTGGAAAGAAAACTAATGTGTAAATAGAAACGTGTGCAGGTCTGAGCTTCCAGGTCTCTTATTCCCGGGAAGGTTTTGGGATGTGTGCTGCCAAAAGAATAATGGATTAGATGTTAATAAACACAATTCTGTGGTTTCTATGTCCTTAAATAACTCAAAAGTAGTTTTGGTTTTGTTTTCATCAAAAAAATAAACAAGATCTCTCCGCTCCAAAAGTAAAAGCCTGGAACCTCCCTTTAAAAAAGATTCATTAGACTGTTGTCTTGTGTAGTTTAGAAGAAGCTAACTGCTAACCTTTTCCTCTGGAGGACAAAAGCTCCAGCATCGTTTTCCTCTGTTTAACCCAATCCCACAATTTCAAAATAAAAGCATGTTCATGTCTCTCTGTCTCCAGTTCTTGACCCATTAATGAGTTTATTCTGTTGGTTCAGCATGATGGCTCTCTGGGTGTTGTCCTCAGTTTTCTTTAAGTAGCAATAAACAACAGCCACAACATTATGACCATCTTCCAGTACTGAGAAGCTCACGTTGAGGTGTGAGCTTCATGAGTCCTCTGGCGGTCTGCTGGGAGGGTTAGCAGATTCAGTGTTCTGCCCAAGCCACCTCAATGCGAGTCTAACGCCGTGGACACACCGGCCGCGGAAGCGCCGAGAAGCGAATCGCTCACGAAATTCGGCCGCTGCTCGCCGCTCCTCAGTTCAGATCAGACGCGCCCCAGTCGAGGCGCGCCTCGGCTCAGCTGTAGTTTTTCTTTTAAACACTTGGTGTCCTCCATTTCCTCTCTGCCTTTTCTCAGCTCTTTTCCTACGTTAGAGTGTTTGTGCGCGTGCGCGCGCGTGTGTGTGTGTGAACCTATGGTATGAGTTGTTTCTGCCAGTTGAATCTCTTGGAACCCGCTCCAATTCTGCAGCTGTATCCTAGCAGTTTCTTCCGACATGGGTACGTAAACAATCATGTTTTTCGGGGGTCGTACAGCTCCTTGTGTTTCTCAACTTCCATAATTAATTTAAAGTCATCCATCCTAACTGTTTGCCTCAGACTTTCTGCCTCTCTGTACTGTTTGCTCCGGTGAAAAGACACCCAAAACCACACCCCCCTTCACGTGGTCACACACGCACACAAGTTCGATGTGTGTGTATGTGTGTGCGTGTTCGTGTGGTTTTTCTGCAGTGTCTGTTTACGAACACATTTGACTATTGCGGAATTTTATTTTGAAATGCTTTATTTTGTTAACTTTACCGGCCTGCCTCTTATGTCTACGTTTGACTTCCTGCCAGAATTGACGCGATTCACCCGCGGCTCGCGAAAAAAATAGAGCCAACGCCGAAATGATCGCTGCACGGCGCGGGCTGGAGCGCCGGCGCGCGCCGGCGCGAGGCGATTCGCGGCGCTTCGGCGGCCCATGTGGTCTATAGAATAGCTTAACAAGGGCGCCGAATGAAGGCGGTCCCATTTTCGCGGCGCTTCGCGGCGCTTCCGCGGCCAGTGTGTCCCCGGCCTAACGCGGAAGTGAAATCAATTACAGTTCCACCCTCATCCACTAGGGGCTGGTGTCAGAAGCGAGCAAATTCTCATTGACTCCAATGTAAAAAATACCAATTTCACAGCAGAAATAGACATGTTTACAGCCTGTTACCAAAACATGTTTTTTGTTTAATTTATCTAGTTTACACTCAGGACAACTCTAAGGGGGTGAATTTTTTTCTCACTCTTCTGTTTAAGTGTATTAATTATAGAGCTAGGATTGGGACAATATTCAATGTAACTTGGAACATGTTTCATGACACGTAACTTTGGATTCGTAACTTGTAACTTCAGTTTTCTAACTTGTAATTCTCAATTTGTACTTGTATTTCTTGTTTTGTAACAGGAAATGGGCCTGTTGTAGAAATAACTCGGCATAAATGATTCTTCCCTCCTTTTTTGTCTTAACCAAAGAAATTCCAGTAATTGAGCAAAAACATTTATTTTTTTACATTAGATTTTATAAAATAACAGGACACAAAGTGTCGGTACATTTAAAAAAAAACGTTAAATAATAAAAGGGGCCCAGAGAGCTGCAGAGTGAGTAGAACATTGGGTGGTGAAGGAAGAACAGAGCTGTCAACAGTGTTATGGCTAAATCATATCAACACATTAGCTATAACAGTCAGGGATATGTTTATCCTGTTTGCATGAAAATAAATCTGCCCTAAACGCAAAATTCAAAAGCAGCGAGACTCCCACCTGGAAGTCTTTCACTGCTTTTGGAGCTGGCCATTAAGACAATCGGCAATATTAGTAAAAAAATATCATTTCCCTTATTTGTGAAATGAACTTTGACAAAAAATGTCCCTGGACTGTCATGTCTGATGTGAGGATGCACAACAACGGCACCATTTAAGCTAGAAATAAATGTAGCCATAACACTGCTGACAAACCTCCTGGCCTTCTCAATTTTAGCAGGTTTTACACCTGCCCTCCATCTACATGGACGATGGACGACATGATGATCATCATATGAGGGTGTAGAAGGTGAAGCCGGTGCAGATCCTCCTCCATCATGTTGACCAGCTTCACACTGCTGACCACCCCCATGTCAATGCTGCCACAGTGGATGAGAAAGACATCAGGTGCTGCTCTTCCTCGCAGGGAGTGGAAAAAGAAGGGGAGAAGGTCTTCCCACCTCAGTCCGCCCCAACGGGGAGGCACGGACGTCAGGGAGGCCAAGGTTGTCTCCGAGGGCCTCTGCAGCTCTCCGGGCACCACGCCTCAAGTAGCTGTCACCGATGATCCAAATGGCTATGGAGAAAAAGATAACAGGTTTGGCCTAGCTGTTTTAAAGTACAGAACCATACATGAAGTGGTCAAGACAGGCATTTGGAACTTACACTTGCAGCGTTGTGTAGCTGACGTTGGAGACACACAGGCTGCCATGGTGACATTTTAACATCTCAGAAAAAAATGTAATAAAAGAATGAAACTTAAAAACTCCCAGACCTCATTTCATGATTGCTAATCAGCTATGGCTGATTTATTGTTTAGATCACAGTGAGTAACACTAATTCTAATATATATTTTTTCTATTATACATACATACTTTTTAACTGTTATTTTCACATGACTGTTATCAGGCTCTCTTGTTCTGGTTCTCATGATAATAATTCTTTTTCTTCCAGTAAGTTATCTTGTGCTTACTTCATCTGTATAATGTCTCTTTTGGTGAATTGTACTGAGTCCAGAATAAAGGCTAGTTGGCTGTACAAGATACAAACAAGTATTACGTTTTAGAAATACATGAAATGTATTTAGCCTGCTAATTTATGTCAAATACTAATAACTACCGTATTTTCCGGACTATAAATCCCACTTTTTTTCATAGTCTGGCCGGTCCTGCTACTCCGGAGCAACTTATATAACAAAATATGAGGGCTATGCCGTGCTGCTGCTGCGGAACAGGGTTGAGCTCCCCTGTCCCACTGGGAATAAAAAACACAGCGACGCGGGCGCAGCAGCGTGCCACGGTCTCCAGCAGAGGATGGCAGTGTTTGAAATCCTCCTAGCGGGACAGGGAAGCTCATTCCTGGGTCGGAGCCGGCCCGCAGCAGCGCACCACAGGCTGCAGCAGGTGATGGCGGGGCAGAGGAGCTGAAACCTGGGTCGGATCCAGCCCGCAGCTGCGCGCCACAGTCTCCAGCAAGTGATGGCTGTGTGTTTTTAGCTCCCTGCGGGTCAGGGTAGCTCACTCCTGGGCAGGTGTTGTGCCCAAAAGTGATCGTCTGCCAGAAACTGAGTGCCGTCCGCGGGAGCGCGCGCAGCTGCTTAAAGCTGCAGCGCCTGGATTACTTGCGTTGCCAGCTACTTCTGTGCAACCATGTCGATGTGTGCAACTGATATTACGGGGTGGGGGTGGGGGTGGGGGGGGGGTGGGGGGTCAACAAGTTTGAAGCCGGAATATTGTTTCAGTGACAAGATACAGCCCACAATCACTTTTTGGTAGTGTTGAAATGCCATGTTCTCAGTCGTTATTCCGAACAAACAAGAAAGTCATGGTGATAATAGGTCTTTATTGGTTAAACTACTATTCGACAGTCTCATAACAAATATGAACAATGAGAGTAGACATACTAAACCTGTAGGCATTAATTATTCCATCATTATGCGTGTAGTCATTCGTGACAGCGCTACACGATGAAAGCAAACTTCTGACAAGCATCATAATTCGATTACAAGAAACGTTAAACATTCCATAAATGCATACCTTTGCCTAATAACAAAGGCATAAATGTGTTTGGGTTCCTTCTGGAGGCGGCGGCGTCGACCACTGGACTGGAGGCGGCGGCGTCGATCACTGGACTGGAGGCGTCGACCACTGGACTTGAGGTGGCGGCGTTGACCACTGGACTGGAGGTTGCGGTGTCGACCACTGGACTGGAGGTTGTGGTGTCTACCACTGGTCTGGAGGAGGAGACATCGACCACTGGACTTGAGGAGGAGACGTCGACCACTGGACTGGAGGAGGAGACGTCGACCACTGGACTGGAGGAGGAGACGTCAACCACTGGACTGGAGGCGGCGGCGTCGATCACTGGACTGGAGGCGTCGACCACTGGACTTGAGGTGGCGGCGTTGACCACTGGACTGGAGGTTGCGGTGTCGACCACTGGACTGGAGGTTGTGGTGTCTACCACTGGTCTGGAGGAGGAGACATCGACCACCGGACTGGAGGAGGAGACATCGACCACCGGACTAGAGGAGGAAACGTTGACCACTGGACTGGAGGTGGCGGCGTCTGCCTCTGGACTGGAGGGGGAGACGTCGGCCTCTGGACTGGAGGGGGAGACGTCGGCCTCTGGACCGGAGGGGGAGATGTCGGCCTCTGGACTGGAGGAGGAGACGTCGACCACTGGACTGGAGGAGGAGACGTCGACCACTGGACTGGAGGAGGAGACGTCAACCACTGGACTGGAGGCGGCGGCGGCGGCCTCTGGACCGGAGGGGGAGACGTCGACCACTGGACCGGAGGGGGAGACGTCGGCCTCTGGACCGGAGGGGGAGACGTCGGCCTCTGGACTGGAGGGGGAGACGTTGGACTGGAGGGGACATCGACCTCTGGAGTGGAGGAGGCGTCGACCTCTGGAGTGGAGGGGGCATCGACCACTGGACTTGAGGTGGCGGCGTTGACCACTGGACTGGAGGTTGCGGTGTCGACCACTGGACTGGAGGTTGCGGTGTCGACCACTGGACTGGAGGTTGTGGTGTCTACCACTGGTCTGGAGGAGGAGACATCGACCACTGGACTGGAGGAGGAGACGTCGACCACTGGACTGGAGGAGGAGACGTCGACCACTGGACTGGAGGAGGAGACGTCAACCACTGGACTGGAGGCGGCGGCGGCGGCC